GTGTCATATAGCCCTAGGTGTGAAGTTTATAGCATCTTCCATCTGCTCAGCTGCGACATTATATGGCAGTCAGAATAAACACGCCTTTTTATCACGAGGGGAGGGGTGGCGTAGTATTGGTAGGTGCACCGCTCCAATTTTCTTTTTATCTTTGGATATAGATCTCACTCTATGTAACAAAGTGCTGTTTTTTTAGCTGCGATTTTTGCGTAGCTTGCCAGCGGAGTCCGGCAACATTGGTCAGAATTTGGCACCGTTCCAAATTTTTAAACTCAACTATGTCATGGCGCCAACCATTGTAATACTCAGCATAATAATAATCAACAATGATAAACAACACTAGACTATGTTTAACAACTCGTACTGTAACAATATACATTAACAATAAACATTGGACAATATTTAAATGAGATTAAGACTAAAAGCAAACTGCTTCATCTAGATACAAAAAACGAGATTTGCGCTGTAAAAATAACAGCGAGGGTGAGATTGTTCTAACCGTGGTGTAAATACAGTCTGACCTTGACCGCCGCGCGGTGCGGAGGTGCCTTCGAGCTCCTGGCCGGCCGCATGTGAGCCTGAGGCGGAACGTAGCCGAGGGTGCGTGGCGGGACATTCTTACCCGGTGTTGAACGGTGACTTTTAACGGACGCTGCCGATGTCTAGGATTGCCTGTACCTTTTGAGTAGTTGCCAAAAGATGTGTAGGTTATGGCCTCTATCGAGGACTCAGTTTTCAGCGACGCGGAGGCAGCGTCAGCGGACGAGCTGGCGACACGGAACAGAAGCCGTCAGACATCGAGCACGGACATGATCTCTTTGCTTGAGAAGAGGCAAAAGAAGTCTCCAAAAGGCAAGTCTCCTTTTAATGATGAACTCATGAGCTTCATCAAAGAGATCATTGAAAATATTATCGAGACAATTTTGGAAAAGGACATCGCAAGCGTGCCCACAACAATGGAAAGAAAGATCGCGTCCTCCTCCTCCTCCTCCTCCTCCTCCTCCTCTTTGTAATTGTCCTCCCAGAAGAGGACGATTGAAAATGGAAAGTGAGCTTTTTCGGAAGTCACAGACGTTTGATCACTTACAATATGAGCTCAAAAATTGTCGGAAGAAAGTACTGGAGCTGACAGAACGAGTTGATGATATGGGGGGAACAGCGGAGACCATAACCTACTTCTTTGGAACAGTAAATTTGGACAAACAAAGGAGGGAGGATACGTTAAGACTCAAACTCCCGAGATATTGAGGGGCGACTCCTTTGACAAGAGGACGCCTCTTGTCAGGACCGCAGACATGTTTTCTTCCCCAGAAGAAGACATGTCTGCGGCGCATAGTCTGTCAAGAGCGAACACAGTCATCTGCGCCTTCATGACAGAAACCTGCGTAACAAGATATATGTATATCGTCTGAAGCTAAAAACGGGTCTACGCCGTACGGCGATCTCCTATTTATGAGCGGGCTGCTGACCCGAGCGAAGCGTGAGCTCTTCGACCATCTACCAGGGACGAAAAAAGGCTACTGTTGGCGGTATTTACGAAAAATGGTTTCCCAAGCTATAAGATCACCCAGCAGTCCAGTACTGTCCGCGTTACGACGCAGCAAGATCTCGGAGATCTGCGCCGACAGTTGGCGGCCGCGGGTGGCGTGCCGGCTTCCACCGGCTACCGCGCTTTGGGCCTGCCTTTGGGTGGCGTTTCGCGGTGTTGCGGCGGCGCCTGGCGGTGTTCCGGCTTCGGCCGGCGGTGTCCGGCTTCGGCCGGCGGTGTTCCGGCGGCGGCTGGGCGTTTCCGGCGGCGGCTGGCGGTGTTCCGGCGGTGGCTGGCTGTGTTCCGGCTTCGGCCGGCGGTGTTCCGGTGCGGCCGGCGGTGTTCCGGCTTCGGCCGGCGGTGTTCCGGTGGCGGCCGGTGGTGTTACGGCGGCGGCTGGCGGTGTTCCGGCGGCGGCTGGCGGTGTTCCGGCGGCGGCTGGCTGTGTTCCAGCGGCGGCGGGCGGTGTTCCGGCGGCGGCTGGCTGTGTTCCGGCTTCGGCCGGCGGTGTTCCGGCAGCGGCCGGCGGTGTTCCAGCGGTGGCCGGCAGTGTTACGGCGGCGGCTGGCGGTGTTCACTCACTCACTTCGTTCATTTCGGCTGGCGGTGTTCACCTGACAGTGCCGGATCTCACCAGTATGGTTACGTAAGCTTCGATGGCATGGATCAGCCATATAAACCCGGCGCCGCAGCTGTCGCTGGCTGTAAACTACGCGCCGCTGCGTTCTATTTTTTCGGGGTGTTTTGTCAAGTGCCTATAATGATAGGCTGTGTTCCGTCTTTATTCCTCTCTCGCGCGTTTTCCTTCCTACTGGGTGGCACCCCTCGGCTAGAGAAGCACTCATGAATAGACGCAGCGCTGGACGCCCCGCCCCCCCCCCCCCCTTCCCTGTCGCCGTCAAGCCAAACATCAAAGCTCAGCATATTTTATGGTACTGCACCCTTCCAGTCTGTTCTTTGTAATGCTATGGATTCGATTGATCGACCTTTGGGCGGCGCCAGATTGTCTCCCGTGCTGGGACCGTTTCGCAGCTGATTCTGCAACCATTCCACCACTCGTGTGTTAAGCACGGATGCTCCCTCCCTCCACTGACACTGACCACTCCCACGTGACAACCATCCACCGCTCCAGCAGTCCAGCCGTCGGATCCTGTGGCAGCGAGCTGGCGTTCCGTGCTTCGGCTCACTTCGTCGCCGTGCGTTTCCTGGTTTCGACGAAGTCATTTGCACGCCGTGTGTGCTTTGCATTCGCTTATTGCCGTTTGCGTATGGTCGTTGAGGCAGTTAAGCTCTGTACGCTTCGATGCCCTTTTTCGTCGGGAGCTGCGCCAGCTAGTTTTTTTACCATTGGTGTGCTCATCCTAACTTATCTGCATCAGATAATGCTGCGTGCCATTACCATTGTCATTAAGTAAATTGCTGAGCTCAGCGTTATAAGCTGGAATGTTTGGAGCTTGAAAAATGACGGGAAACGAAGACCAATGTTCAGGCACATTCACACCGCGTACTCCACGCATATCGCAACAATCCAGGAAACGCACGCGACTCCAGCTTGTGAGTAGTGCTCGAGGAGCGAATAGGGTAGTGGCATTCTCCTCACACATGGTGACAACGTCTCGAAAGGAGTTTGCATACTCGTCCCACAGGGACTCACGAGTTTGATTGAAGCGATTGACACTCAAAATTATCGCGATCACAGGAGGGCTATGCTCATTAAGGTTGCATTCGATAACATCGTTTTCAACTTTTAAGTTTGTATACACATTCCTATGCGGTTAGGCAGCATCCTTGTTTAAATATGTTGAGGGATAGCTGAACGCTCAAGATGATCTATCCAACCTGATCATCGCGGCGGACCCAAACGTGCATCAAAGCGAGTTGGATGCAGATGGACCGCAAAGAGGAACACTACAACCGTCATAAATTTTGAAGGAAATAATCAGCGACTTTGGGCTGTTAGGCATGGGGGTGGCTCAGCCCTCAACAGAAACGATTCACGTGGCGGATTCTGAACTCTCTACAGGAATCTAGAATTGATGACTTTGTAATGAGCGGCACCATGGGTCTTTCTCAAAACGTCGCCCCTGGAGCAAAGAGCCGCCTGTCTTCAGCCATCATAAAGTCATAGCTTTGCATATAGAGGCAGCAAATGAGAGGCGTGGTCCAGATGTATGGAGGCTGAATAACAAGCTTTTAAGCGGTGACCTGTTAGCTGATGAGATATAGGATGAAATTCGTGCTGCTAAGAATAAAGAAGGTTATCCATGCTGGCTGTAGCAGCCTTCAAGTGCTGATTCAGATGTTGCTGAATAACGTTAGGCTGCTATGCGTACGAAAGGGCAAAGAACTAACTCCAGCTAAGCGAGACCGTGAAAAGGAAGAAGAGGACAGAGTGTCACTATCGCACTCATGTTTGAGAAGCTCCTGTGAGGAGAGCGTGGTTCAGAACTATAAAGAAGCTAAGGCAGAGTTAGAAAAACCCAAACCAGAAGCTGGAAAAAGAGATGCTCTTCTCCAAAGTGAACTGGTTAGAAAATGGCAACAAAACCTCCTTAATACTTTTTGGGCTGCTGAAGACACGAGCCAAAGACAAGGTAACCTGCATGCTACAGGACGAAAATGGCTCGTCAGTTCCAGGGGTAAACATATTCTCGAAGTTTCTCGATCGTCCTTCGTGGGGCTGCATGGCTGGAACACAGCTCCTGAGAGATACTTAGACTTCATTGAAGATATTCCACAACTGTTGAACAACGACCGTGCCCCATGCGAGGAAGAAACTACACGCGAAGAGTGCAAATACAGTTCAGATAAAATGGGTGTTCACAAGTTACCGTTGATATCAGGTTTTACAAAGGAATTTTCAGCGCTTCTGGGACGATTTTGGAGGTCTAATGACAGACTGCATCAGTGACATCAGTTTCAATCAGGTTTGTTGTTCATAACTTGAAGCCTGCAGAGGAGAGCCAAGAGCTGAAAAAAACAAACGTCCGATCTGGTGGCTTGACGTCATTTACAAAATAAGTGCCCAGGTTTTTATATACGCTTAGGAAAAGTAATCAAGAAATTGGTTACTTCGGATAAAAACGACTTCATTAAAGGCAAGAATGTTCGTGGTGACATAAGAACCATACAAGACGCTATTGATTATACCACCATTGACGACAGTACCGGCATATTATGTGTGATTTTAGGTCGGCATTCAAGTAACTGGAGCATGATTTCATATTTAACAGGTTGCGTCGATTCCATTTCGGAGATGATTTTATAAGATGGGTCTGGTAATTGTTCAAGTTGGCCATAATTAGCAGCGGTCTCACTCCCAAATCGTTTTCTCTTCAACGTGGTACACCGCAAGGGTGCTCTCTCAGGCGTGCTTTTTGCACCGGCTGTATAGATGCTGCCTATAAAGATGCGCTCTTGCATTCAAATCAGGGAAATCGCCAATTTGGGGCAGAACTAAGTGCCGCAACGTGCGGATCACACAACTGTATTTGTAGAAAAAAAAATGAAGAGTTCGAGAAATGCTAAATATCCTCAAAGACTTTGCTGAGGCATCCGGACTTGAATGGAATTTTAATAAAAGCAAGTCACTGTGGCTGGGCCGGCATCAGTCAAATCTGCAAACCGTATCTGGCAACCAAGCTTGCAGTTCAGTTAAGATTCCACGTCTTTGGTTTTCTGCAAAGACAGATTGTGCTGAAGAGACTCTAAATCTCATAATACGTGGCATTATGGGTGTGTTGGACAGGTGAGCACAAGGACATTTAACTATAAAAGGAAGAATAACAGTTGCCAAGATCTGATGTTTTCTAAGCTGATGTGTCATTTCTTGCGTGGCTATTCACAATCGTTTCCTGGTGCAAGTTCCAAATTTAGGCATGAAGTCTACCTGGTGTCGCAGACCACACGAGGTGGCCGTGAAATACTCTTCCTAAATGAAAAGCAAGGAGGCTTAGGAGCATCTTCTGTACATTGCATGCACGCCATCTCGTAGCTTTGCTAGATCGTCGGCCTGCTGCAGCGTACATCCAAGAGGCAGTTAATTTTTCAAAGACGTCTAGCTCCACTTCTCATCAGTGTACTGCTCAAGAATAGCTTTGGCAAAGAGAAAGCTGCTGGGTTAGCTGAAGAAGGGAAAGCTGCAAATTAAGCATTTTCTATTCAGACCTGCTCCGAAGATTACGAGCTTGGTTCTGCAAGCCTGAACCAGACCCAGCATAACTAGTAAGGGACGAGATGATATGGTTTAATAAAGGCATCCTGATTGGGTATTGTCCTGCCTTCCATCGCCACATGGGTCTGTGTGGTACACGATTCTTTGATGACATCATTGTCAGACAGAGGTGATTCTTAACGCACGACCAACTGCGTGCAAAATATCCCAATCGCAGGATGGACCTCCTAGGGTATCAGGGTTTAGTGAGTGCAGTTCCCACAAGGTGGAAGCTGTTGCTGATGGAAAGCGGGAGCTTGGAACGAATATCTGCAGAAGCGAGGGAAACATAAGTGCCCCTTAAATTCGGGCCACGAGAACAGCCACTTCATTAGCTGAACACTCAGCACTCAGAACAGCTGCTTTTCGTTGAAAGAGAACGCATTCTTTGGGATTAACGATGCGCGAACCAAATGCGTTCTACAAATGGGGATCGGTGGGCTTAGCCCCGGAGACATGGATAAAGTACCTCGAAATCGCCTGTCGCTGTTGTGCCTCCACCCAGTTACAGTCACTTTAATTTCATGTATTTTATTTTCATATACCCACTGGACGATCTTTGCACTTAACACATGTTATCGAATCACCAGCATGCACGTGCTGTGTGACAAATGATACATTAGTGCACTATTTTTTCAACTGCGGACCCGCGCGTGCCTTTCAGCGCAAGATATCAGCTTCTAACATCTGACACGCTAAAACCTCCAGAATCAAGCTTGACACGAGCACTGTGCTATTTACCGATCCAAACATCCGAGCCTACAGAAGCGAACGGAATAAACAGTGGTTCACGGAAAATGGCGGAGGTTTTGTGATGGTGATATGATCATATTCCAAGCAGGGAAGTCCAACGATGGTAGAGACACATTTAGTCGCGTAAGCATGGCGACGTGTAAATACGTTTTGCTCTTTTACCGGCATGTGCGTTGCTGCTCTGGGGGATGCACCGTCCCTAGCAGGATGACCTGACAATTGTCAATATTTTTACGCGCGGCTGACCGTTGTTGCGGCTTCTTGATTCTGAGGTAGTCACATCATAGTCCAGTACACGCTTACGTGTGTACTCGAGTGTTTGCGACAAATGTTGTGTTGGATGTTGTAGTGTGAAAAACTGTAGCGTGGAAAACGCATGTGTTATCAATAGGAGCGCCACATGCAAGCTATCATTAAATCATTGCTATGCGCACGAGGTTCGCGTAAATTTCCGTTAAAGGAATGTCTGTCATATCATGTAAAGCAGTTCAATTTCATGGGGGTTAGTTCTTCATCAGCATAAAAAGTGATAAGTGACCAGCCTATAAAATAAGTTTTACCTAAATGCGCAAGATTGCACTAGATTAAATGTCATAATTATCTGGCGCACACGGCGAGGCACTGTTCTGAAAGTTTGAGTTAATCCCAAAGCGTTGAGTTCCTCACACTGGTAAAATAACGTGGCTAAATCAAGGTAGAACACACCGACCACGGGGCTCCAGACGAAGCTCTAACTTTGCCAAATATACTCTTGAAAGGCGTAACAGACGCGAAAGCAATACTACTGTTCCAATAAATGGAGACATACAGTTATCCCAGTCTAACTTTGCTTGACTGCTTTCCTGGTCACATGTAATCTATCTTTAAAAAAATAGTTCGTAAAGGGGCAGTTTACAGACATTGCCTTTCTCCGAATCCGTGTCTGCAGTACGCCAAATGCTTGCAAAACGAACATATGTTGCGGCGCACAGACACACAGATCGACGTGGATGAAGCCCAACTTCGGTAGAGCGCTGAAGTTATACTGACCACATTCGTGATGTGGCGAAACGCGTGGTGGTAGCTTTGCCGCCCAGAATAACTATTCGCATATGGCTCGTCAAAGAGGGTCATTTGGTCATTGGCTTGATGGTTGTCAGCCTGGTTACAGGGCAGCTGATAGTCGTGTAGTCGCTTAAAACAACAAAGGTCCATTCGTTCTATTTGGATAAGGGACCGGATCAAAATTGATTCGTTGAGCCTGCATAACCACGATGGGATGGTAGGTTCGGAGTGCGACCAATATATCACGCCACCAAAGAATCAGATCAACCTGGTTCCAAGAAAATTTTCGTGTTCGTATTGCTTCTCACTTTTTAGCCGAACTGGACTTATAATCTAAACTTAGTATGCCGCATCAAAAACAATTGTGTTGCTCAATTTTTTTTTCTCACGAGACCTTGCATCAAAGCAATTTGGGTCGCAACTTCAAGTAAAACAAGGTTAGGTTCGTAGTCCACCATGGGGACCAAATGCCGCTCAGCATGAAATAGTCCGCGAGCCCGGTAAATCAGTGTTGTTAATGCTATGTTTGGGTAGTGGAGAGAAAAGCGTCAGGGCTTATGCGTGCCAGAAAAAATATTTGATTGAATTATTAAATTAATAATAAAAAATTAAATTAAAATAAAAAATAAAAAATTGAAAAGCAAAAAACGAAATGGTTGACCCCGTGCCATTGAGTACCCTCATTTGAGGATATTGTTTTGAGGCTGCGGGGTCAGGTTACCCCTATGCACTCTTCATGTCAGCACCACCACGAGGATGGGTCAAATGGGATAGTCTTGATGTGATGGCCAATTTTTCTAAACGCTTTTTAATATTCCGCCCAAAACTATTGGGGGAAAGGGCCCAAGCCAACCTTGGGAGCCCAACTCAACGTTGGGGGGCGGGCAGAACTCTCACAAAAGAATACAAATCGGCACCCGTAGGAATGAGTTTTCCGGTGAGATGATTCCGTGCGATATGTTTTCTACGCGAGCACCAAGTGGAGCTCGAAAGTTTTGTCTTTCTCCACAGCTTTGTTGGATCGGTCTGGCGTTGCAACCAAACTAAATCACCTTGTCCGCACGGACTAGGAGAGCTCTGGCGAAAAAGTTTCAAAGCACAACAGGCGGATTAAAATGCGTGGCAGCAGGATTTGAGATATTTTGCAGCGCACCATGACGTGTCAGGCCCAGGGTCACGCGATTCGTGGATAAGACGGATTATACGTCCCGTGCAAAGATTAACCAGTTGCATAGTGCAGCAAACCACTCTGGTGTACACGTAAAGCCCTACTGCAGATGGTCAGAGAAAGGGGTGGCGCATTCTTTAAGCACGCATACCGCTAACCCGCTCGCAGAGCTGGATGGTACCATGCGCTCTGACCATTACGCAAGGTGACGTGCTGTAAAACGGTAACACGTCCTGTGAGCCAACGCGTCGCGCAGAACTTTTGCAGATCACTTTGGGCTCACACCATTCACTTGCTGGCAAGACAACAGCAGGTGGAAGAGCTTCATCTGCGCTGCCACATCGCTGCCGCACATGAACGGCGCAAGCACGCCTCACAGCCCCAGGGTAGCGCATGCATGCCAGAGGTCAGGCCACACTTTGCGCGGCTCCCAGCCGTCACACAGCAGACCTCTGCCGCTCGGCCGGCACCGTCGCCCCGCAGCCGTGAGGTCGCATAGGTTGTGCTGCAGAGGCCGGCATCGCGGACGGATATGTGCAGAGGTGCGGCTGTTGACACGAGCGCCGACCGGCTCCATCGAACCCGTGGCTACGTCACACCGGCGGCTGCGACGAACCGCGCTGGATATGACTCCTAATCTGACGCATTGCGGAGGCAGTCGTGTCCGGTGAGCTGGACGTCGCATTGGGAGGGGGGGGGGGGCAACAAATCAGACCAATGCTTCGAAAATACGCCAGGTTTTCAACCATGCAAAGAAATGGATGATTTAAATGCAATCAATATTGGCGCTGGCGACTTGGTAGATTTATTCAGTACGATTACACTAATTCGATAGGTCCGACGTTGAAAACAGATTGCGTCAACAGTGTAAGTGGATGGGCTCTCGGGTGATTTCATATTTCAGTTTCCATTCAATCTGAGCCACATTCAGAGCCACAAGGTTTATTATTCGCCGGGACTGCGGGATTGCAAGACATGGGATGATGCTGCGACGAATGCTCCATTGGTTACCGGCCACATGACATCACGCAATCATCGTGTGACGCAAAAGACCTGCGCGCTTCATATCCGCAAAATGCAGATCCGGAGTGAGCGACTGCGCAATTTGATGGGGTGACGGGCCCGCAACGGAGCCGCACTTCGGCTCGCGCCAATTCGCTATCCGCTGTCAGAGGGCGCCATCTGGACTTTTGGCAGCACCCGACGCTGACCACCGGGGGGCCATTCTCCGCCCAAGCCCGGACATTATCGGTGCCAGCCGGGACCATTGTGCTTCCGGGACACTGGGTAGGAGAGGGGGAGGAGGGAAGCGAGCTCAAATCGTGGTCGACGACCGTGGGAAATGCTGATTTTTGCTGATTTGCTGATTGACAAATGCTGATTTTTCTTCGGCTTTTGGTGACTTTTGCGCCACTTCGAAACAAACTGACTGCTTGCTTGTTCAAGCTTCGTCTGTGGATTACGTGGGAGAGGAAAGGCGGGAAAAGATGTGAAAAGGCTCTTTACCTTAATTTTTCTACACCATGTACTTCATTGCTTACATTCCCTGGAACCGCACTTCAGCGTAATGTCTTACGTGTGGAGTGTTCGCTGTGCGTGAGAGTTAGGCTGTGAGTTTGGGGAGCTTAACTGCAAGTGGGGAGCTTAGCTGCAGGTGGGGGCTCGCCTGCAATCTCAGCCCCCCTCCCCCAGCCAGCCAAATATAACCATACGTGGCCAGCCCTTTAGCCATAACGCATCCAGCGACGTCGCGATAGCGTGGCTCTTCCATGCGGAGGAATTCCGTATTTTTGTCTTTGACCGCGATGAGCTCCGCTGTAACACTCGCACCGTACGCCCTCGTCCGCCGCTGCTGATTTTTCTGCTGGGGGCGTGGCAAGGCCGTGCGATGAGCGCTTTAGCCCGCTGTTGTGCCGCGCCGGTGTCGGCCCGCTCCGCCGTCCACCTCTGCCGCTGTTGATCTTCACTACTGTGTCACCTTGTGTCGGCCTCAACAGGATCAGATCAGATCAGACTCCTGCATTTCAGATCAGACTCTCACAGAAGAGCCGGGCTGTGAAATCCACCCACGATGACTATCGTTTCGTTACATGGCATCGTAGTACTCATCTACCAGTACTCTGAGTTACTGCAGCCATAACGAATCTAGCCTCACTCGACTGAAATTCTCTCACCGATTGAACCATACGCCGCCCTTTGCAATGTATAGCCGTGGTATAAAAGAACGACAGGTCATCGGCTGCAGGCTGTGAGGGATCCGTTCGTTAACTCATTCCGACATTAGGCACATGGCCGCGACTGAGCCCACGCTGTTCGGTTACGCCGCTGTGGGTTTTCCGATGACCGACGGCGGGCGAGCGTCATTGTGCGTCTGCTGCATGTACCTGCTCCCCTCGTTCAGAAATACAGTGCAACGCGAGACGATTACCTCCAAACAGGGCGGGAAAAGCGAATGCGTACCACCTTGGACAATGAATTGTCATTCCGGGATACCCATCACACAATGCTTCATTCCGAAATACCAGTGAAATTCCATAAAATATCAACTTTAATGCGTACCAACAAATTATCCGCTGGCTGCATATTTTTGCACTCAAGGATGGTGACGCTGAAGGGCTCCGAAAATCATCAGCCCTATGTATCCAGCTCTCCAGTTTTGCTGTTTTCGCATTTCATTAAAATCTCGTAGTTGCCACAAATAACACGATCAATGTAAACGACACACGAGTCGTCGACATGCATTTCAAACAAACATAAACACCTGGTAGAAGCTTCCGGCATCTTGCAGTCCACTGTCACCGACGGACGGCGAAGCGCGGCAACCTACCCCGCCTCCCAACAGCGCAAATAACAGCACCGCGGAACAGCTCCTTGCGCGTCGGAGAGCCCCACCACCGACCGGGGGAACGCTCCACACACGTCGAGCACGAGTCCAAAACCACGGGAGTTCTGTCACGGCGGACAGATCGACAGATCGAGGCCATACTGCCGTGCATCGCTCGCTCCCATCATCCCTCGCCACCGGTGGTCCGGTCTCGGGACGCGCCGGTCGACCCCGCGGCACGCCGTCTTGTCCGCTTGGCTGACATGCCGGGTTCACACCCGCCCACCGCCGCCACCGCGGGTCACTCCTCGTCATCGCCCATGCTCTGGAGGAGCCGGCTGGCGCGTCGGTACGCCCGCTTGGAGGGCTTGGCGCGGCCGAGCGCCTCGCACGCCTGCTCGCGGCTCTGGCCCTCGGCTCGCAGCGACGGCCACCGGTCGCGCGCCTCCACCACGGCCAGCAGCTCGTCCGAGAGGCGGCGACGGGCGGCGCCGCGCACCGACGCCGCGTACTCCATCACCAGCGGAAAGTCCTCCCGGCTAATCTGAGGGTCAGCCATGGGTCACGGGGGTCACACCGACACCGAGTACTCCATCACTGACGTGAAAAATCCTCTTGTGTCCTTACCATGATACGGTATGTAACGATACTTTAAGAAAGCCGACTGATTGTACGTGAATTTATCGCAAAACATTGTGCTAGCTGCATCAGCAGTCAGCACATCTGAAGAAATGCTGCTGGCTTTCTAAGGGGCACCAAAACTTTTTTCCTTAATACAACTCTGGATTGCAGCATTCCAATGCGCTATCTTCAACCAACATGCACAATATTCTCCCACATCATAATTCCTCATCTTACCAAAACTGCAAACATGAAAGGGTATGTGCTAGCTCTCTCCACACAATGTCACGCACACATCGCTTCACGCCGAACAAGCCGGGATGACGAAGTCGGCCAGATTTTTTGGGGGACAGTTTTTTTTGGTGTTGAAGGACTTAATTCCAGCTTCTCATCAGATGAAATTGCGCTTTCAGCGCCCACGCTGAGCAGCGCTCGTTGCGTGCACCCTTTCCCCGCCATCCGATCATGAAACTCGGGGCGATGTCAGAACTTTGCCGAAAAACTCAACGTACCACAACATTCTACACAGCCCATCCTGCTCTCCGTCGTCACCTGACATTTAGCGCGGACTTTGCCACTGACTGCGGGTCATTCCCATCAGGGATAGATAGTGAGTGCTTTGAGCCCACCGCACCACAGGTGTACATGTCAAAAGGCAAATGCTCCATGTGAGTTAACAGCACAGCTTTTGCCAGCAGCCTTGAAGACTTAGTGAAATCAACCAGTTGGAACAAGAAACAGACTCAGCACCAATCATAAGCAAACAATATGATAATTCCACTATTCAAAACTTAACTTTTGTGGCATTTCCCGGTCAGAGTTGCCTGACTTTAGTGTTGTCCAGGAGATTTGCCTTACTTTAGTGTCATCCAGGAGATTTGCCTTACTTTAGTGTCATCCAGGAGATTTTGCAGAATCCAAGCCTGCACCAGCTTTTGAAACTTCCAGTTGTCCTTATCTTCCTTCCATTGCTGCACGTATGCCACAGCATATTCTGGGGATGTTTTCTTTGTGGAAGAAACTGCAACCTCTTTATGTGCATTCAACTTTTCTTTCTTGACTCGCTGCTTCCGCTTTTCCCTTTTCATGAGTTTGTTAGCTTCCTTAATTTTTTTCTGCTTTTCCTTCTGAGCATTACTCTGATTTTTTAGCAGCTGCTCTGATATGCTCTTAGAGACAACTGGGAGTGATGTGTCTGCTTCAGCACTGGTGTCATGTGCTATTTTTCTTCGCTTTGCAGACTCTGCCTTTTCTCCCATGGTTGCCCTTGCTTGCCAGTCAACAGTGTTGACATAAACCTGTGGGAATCACTTCACACCACCTGGAACCAGAGCATAAATTTTTGTGAGCATTATTTACTACCAACTGTGAATAAGTATGGTGGAAAAGAACAATGCCAAATTGTTTTTCTTGGAATGGCTGTTGCTGATGAAAAAGACAGTGACCAATATAAGCATGAAATGAATGAAACTAACTACTGTGCTCAGCTAACCTAATGTAACTATTTATGGTGCATTACAGTTAAGTGCAATAAGGGACAAAAAGTACAGCATTACCAACTTACACAACATAATTTCCCTTCCCTTTCCTTGATCCTGATATCACAACCACAATGATATTGCTATCATCATCATAACTGATGCAATGGCCAGGTCAATTAAGCTCCTACTTTGCAAGCAGGAAATAAAATTTGGCAGCTACACATTGTAGTGCTTATGACCACATAAATGATAATATTGGGGAATTCTGATCTTATCCATTAAAGGTCAAACATGGTCACAATATATCAAGCCAATAATACTGGTAGCTGAAAATTACCTGCATTATAGCCTGGCTAAGTTTAAGCCAAGCTTGACCAAATGGGCCATGCACATGAACAATGCCTGAAAAATTGCAACAAGTTAAAAACATAATGGTGGGGTACTGCCATCTTTGTAGACAACCTCAGGTCTGGGACTATTCATACACTTTCAGTAAGTTAAATGAAATTATGCACAAAATTCATGCCTTCCTTTCACCCCACAACGCTCGTTACCTTGGACCGACCCAGTCTTAAGGCATTAAGCCTAGTGCTATAGCCTTGGATCGATAGGACACTACACGTGCTTGCCGAAAGGTTTTTTCCTGCCCCCTAAATGAAAATCCTGCATCATGAATGCCGAAATTTCACGGTACTAATAGACTGCCACGCCAAAACTGATTGCCTACGCAACTAGCTCATTTATCCCGTTTGTGCTTGATATATCAGCAATATAGACCATTAGGATTCTGCATAAAATAAAAAAGAATGGCATAAGCGCACAAATATTTGGGGTAAACATCAGAAACATATCACATTTCCTTCAAAAACTGGCTGCACACGAAGGTGCCAGCTGGCCTTGCCCCGCCGGGAAAGCCTTGATGCATCAGCATCGTGCAAAGGAGGCAATTAAATATACGATTTGTCATAGGTTGGGTCAAAGCTATCTAACGGGTTGGGTCGACGGTTGGCTTTTTGCCGTGTCCTGTAACTATGTGGTGTTGTGTCATTAGTGCTGTAGATCGGTGTTTGCTGTCGCTATCGTAATTGCCATGGCTTGAATGTAATTTATAATCCAATGAATAAAATGTTTCTGTTTGGTAATTAGTGTCGTGAGGAAAGTTCATTGACATGCGACGTTTTTGTTATATTTAGGTGAAAATATCCACATTTACTACATGAAATAGGCATTGCATTAAGCAAGTGAGATAAATCATGTCATGAACATAGATGGTGAGGCACAGTTGACTAAATAGCCCTCTAAGAAGGTGTGTTTGGTTTGATTTAGCCTAAGGAGTAACAGCTAGTTATTTTTCATTCATGGCAGACTGACTGAGGTGAGCCATGCATTCATTGGCTTGGTGTGTTATTTAAAAGCAGCTGTGGTTTTAAATGTCAGGCAAATTTGGCTTGCATTCTGTTAGGCCCTCTCGGAATGGCTGTGCTTGGGGTGTCTTGATTATATATGCAAATCTGCAGGCTGCATTATTGGTATGTTCAAATTAATACCTTGATGTGAATAAAAAATGTAATTTATCATGTACCAAGTTATCTGCACAGAATTCTGGGGGAAAATGAAAATATTCTGATAATGCTAAGTTTTGGATTTTTTGCACTACTTGAAACAGCCATGTGTGAATGCTGTTGTCTACACTATTGCAGTTTTGCTGGGAGTCTGCATGCACCATACTTCAACCAGACTGACAACATTAGCATTCCTAGGAAGTACTGTAGTTCTGTGGGTGTTTGTACCAACTGAGGCTTGGCCATTTCAGAGAGAAAAAAAAAACACTCAAACTTGCAGGTCATCTCCATGTTAAAAATGGATGCAGATTGCAGTGATACTGCCATTATACCTATCTTGCCTACATGTTGTTTCATATGCAACTCATCTGAGGCTGAAACAGATGTGAACCATTCCATCATTGAAGACACAGGTAAGCAATCAATAGCATGTTCACCATATGAAAAAATGTTGTCACCTAAAATTAATTTTGGGAAATCTTCACACTTCTTGCAGTACCTGTCTGAAAAGGGAATGCAGAGCATCATAAATAAATAGCATTTATACTGATATTTACAAAATGTTATCTGCTGTGTCTGGTTGGTCATGCATTCTGCAAGTATTTGCAATTATTATAAATGTCAGGTGATGTTTCCTGGATCTGCTGTGAAGACAGCTTTAAGGCTTTTTTGCAGCTCCCAATAATTTTTCATAATATACTGAATAAAAGCTGTTCTGAATAAGCACCAGGCTTTCCCAGATAGCTGTACTTTATACTCTTCCTTACAACATATGTGTTTTGATAGTCTGCAACTAGTATTTACTGCCATCTGTCTCAGCTTGTCACCTGTTTGGGCGCCGACCACTGTGCGCTGGTGTCCGCAGGCTCCTCACTGTCAGAGCTGGTGCAGCTGGTGCTGCCGGACAGCACAGACGAGCTGCAGCTGATATCGGCAGTGTGCGCCTCGTGCGTTGGCCTTCTGGCCGAGTATGACCAGCTGCGGCTCGGCCAGGCGCGCCTCGCTGACCACGTGCGCAGCCAGTACGCCTCCAGCCAGCTGGCGCGCTCCTCGCTCGACGTCATCATAGAGATGGGTGACAACCGGGTGACGGTGCCGTACGGTGTGTACCGCGAGCACCGCGCGGCCGGGCCGACGGACGCGCCCGCTGTCGGTGAGGAGCCAGCGCCACTGCCGCCGCCGCCGCTCTCCCCTCCACCGCCACAGCCGTCTGGCGTCGCGGAAGCGGCGGCCGCCGAGGCGCCGCCGCCGGCAGAGCCTCTGCCGGCGGCCGACTCGCTCGACCTGGAGATCCACGTGCAGGGCGGGCGGCTGTGCCACGTGTGCGACGCGAGCTTCGGCACGTTCGGCGAGCTGGCGCGCCACCTGCGCGCCGCGCACCAGCTGAGTAGCAGCGAGATCCGCGCGGTGGCGCTGCGCGCGCCGCCGCCGACGGAGGCGGCGCCGGCTCGGCCCGGCCGGCGGCACGTCGCTTGCCCGCTCTGCGCTGGGCAGCGCGTGTTCGCCACGGCCGAGAAAGCGCGCGCGCACCTGCTGCTGCGGCACCGGTCGCGGCTGGCAGCCGGCGCGCCGCTGCCGGCCGAGCTGGCGCTGCACCTGTGCCGTCAGTGCGGCGCCGCTTTCCGGCGCGCCGACATGTGCCGCAAGCACGAGGCGACGCACCGCGCGCAGGTCAGCGCGCACCGCTGCGAGCTGTGTGGCAAGACGCTGTGCTACCGGCACGGCCTCAAACGTCACCTGCAGAGCCAGCACGGCCTGGCGGCTAAACACCCGGTCGTGGTGCGCGCTGCCGGCCCAGCCGCCGCCCGCACGCCCTGTGACCAGTGCGCCGAAGTGTTCGCCGACTACGGCAAGTACCTGTTCCACTGCCGAAGCGTGCACCTGCAGGAGCCGGACGTCGGCTTCGGCTGCGAGTCGTGCGGGCGCCGCTTCGAGAAGCGCTCCGAGCTGCGGCTGCACCGCGAGACGCACCAGGACACCAGCTACTCGTGCGTCACGTGCGACAAACACTTCAAGACGCGGCTCGCCTACCAGAAGCACGCGCGCGTGCACAGCGGCGGCGGCTGGCGCTGCGAGCACTGTAACAAGGTGTTTGACACGCGGCCCAATCTGGCCACCCACCTGCAGACGCACTCGGCGCGGCGCGCGCACGCCTGCGCCGACTGCGGCGCCACCTTCAAGTTCGGTCAGACGCTGGCACGCCACCGCGCCGTGCGCCACTCGGGCGCCACGCCGCGCTACGTGTGCGACGTTTGCGGCAAGGCGTTCGCGGTGGAGCACAGCCTGAACCTGCACCGTAGCCGCCACGGCCCAGCCACACACTCCTGCCCGCGCTGCCCGGCCAAGCTGGCCAACCGGCCGGACCTGCAGCGCCATCTGCGGCGGGCGCACGGCGGCGCCACCGTCGACCCGCTGCAGAGGGCGCTGCTAGCGCTCGGCTCGAACGCCGCCGACGCTGGTCCGGTCGACGTCACGTTCGAGGTCGACCTGTGATGCTGCCGGTACGCGTTGTGCCCGTGCATGGTGTTGGAGTGTGGCAGGGTGCTGTGCTGCAAGGGGCTGTGATTTTTTTGGTGTATATTGTCAACATTGTGTGAGATGTATTTTGTACCTGTGATTTCAGGCTGCTTAAACGGCTGCATGATTTCAACGTCGAAGCGTTCCATAAAGTCAGTTTTTTTGCGAGCACTTTCATCATTGTTGTCATTTGTTGCATGGGAGCTCACAGTCAGACCTCAGAGCAGTATGAACATGAATGTTTTTGTAGCCACTTTCTGAAATGCCAGCAAGAAGCAGGAAATGCATTAAACAATGGGTGAGCAATCTGGATAGTACTTGGCTGTCATGCAAGGATCGCTGGGTATATCGGTGTGAATCAGCTGGTGTGAACAGCTGAGCAGGCTAAGATATTGTGGCCTGTGATGGGAAGTACACATAAAAGTTGGGTCTCTGAGCAGATTGAAGGAAGATGCGGTCAAGACGCGTTCTGTCATTGGTATACGCATTTTCATGAACTTTGGGCTACTGTGGGTCGCTTACCACCTGCTCGCACCATTCATGATGGAGGCAATGAACGTCTCTTTCGCGCGACCCTTGAGTTACGAGTCAGTAGGTTTGAGGCCGCGAACATTTGGGCAGCCTGCAACGCCCAGGACGCCCGGCTGCTGACGCCTATTCCACTGTCTCGGTGTATCTATCTTGAGGGTCTTATGTCTCATGGAGCCGGGTGCCTTTTCAGCTCCCCTGCGGGTTATGACTTGACTGTTTCGAGGCGTCTCGGTCGTATGCAATCCTGAACGTCCAGAACAGTTCCTCACTGTCTCAGAAGTCTGTCTATCCATTAAGTGTGAAACCAACGCCAATATCATCCCAGCTCGGCCTGACCGTCAAGGACCATGGGTTAGCGGGGGGAGGAGGGCACTGGCGTAGCCTCACAAACTGATTTGGGGGGAGAGCAAGGGGGCTGACCAGGGCTAAATGGCGCAACCTACCCCCAAAACGCATCAATAAATGCGTTTCTCGAAACATTTGACCCACTTTCTTCTCAAAGTTGGAGGCGAACTTGAGCCCAAATTGTGTGTGTGGGGGGGGGGGGGGAGGGAGAAGGCTGATGCCCTTCTCCCCAAACTGAGTAGGAAACTGCGCTCTCGGAGGGTGGCCTGCTCCCCCTCCCCGTTTTACGTGAAGGCAAGGTGTTAGTCATTAGCCTATGGTAGAGCATGAGGACAATTGACCCGAAAGCCGGTTTGGCTCTCCCTTGTTTCGGCACGCCTCTACGCTCCTGGTCCTGCTTCCGCCAACCGCGTTTAATGCTCAGCCGCATGCACGCACGTGCACGCTGTGATTCTGTTTAGCACGGTTATTCCTATTTCGAGGGCTGTTTTGGGAGAAACGGCAAATATGATGTTTCATATCCGACGCCAAAGATGCAGTAGCGGCGCATATTTGTTTCGTGGTGGGAGGTCAGCAGCCTTGTTTGGGAGCAAAAGGTGGCATTGTTTGAGAGAGGGTATTGGGCGCCGGGTGGTCACGTCTTCTTTCTGCAATGTGAGAAGAATAACTGGCTTAGGACGAGCTGACCTTGTAAATTAGACACAGCTGGATTATGAGATTGTGAGATGCTTGCCTAGCTGGCCGGTTCTTGTCCAGATATAGGTAAGTGATCGTACTGCCCCAGGTACAGACCCGCTGGTGTCCAACAAGACAGCCGGTCCCTTCTTTGACTATAAAAACATAGGTTTTTTGCATGAAGATCAATGCGAATATGAACGGTTCAGTTGTTAAATCAAGCGCCTGGGTAACCAGGGCTCGATTCTCTGTGGTGCCCACCATTTCCACCTGGATGAGACAATGCCATGTAGCCTCAGCATTTGAGTGCATTATAAACCCCCAAGACAATAGTGAAATCGAATGCAGGACCTTCTTAGCTTACCTTACCTTGCCTTATGGTGATCAGGAATTGGAAAAGGCCACTAGGCCTGTAGGTCCCGGTCTTGTCAGGCTCTCTGTCCGGTAACCAGTCAAATTATGTTTTGAGGTTTAAGTTGTTTTATGTTTCAAATTATGTTTTATGTTTCATATTCTTGTGTATGTTAGTAATTCATCTTGCTTCATATCATCCTCTGTGTTTATATGCTAATGCTTATTAGTTTGATGAAGGGGTGAGTAGAACTTCAGAATTGTGATCATGACTGTTTTTGCCCATATTCTTATTTTCCATCACTTTCAATTGTGATGATCACATTTATTGGTGACTAACCATGAAAGACTTCATCCTAGAAACAATAGAATGGAACAGTCAAGAAAAGCATGTAAATAGTTAACAAAATTCATGCATTAACCTGTTTCAAATGCAAATTACAGCTAATTAGGTGTCAGTATTCTATTCACTTTGCTTTTGTATGTAATGAAGTTGTTTGCAAATCAATTATCTATTTTGAAGGTAATGGAATTGGTGCAGACCTCCAAAAATAACAATATTTGTCTCATGGAGTCATTTTGTTCTTGCTATATTTTGGGACACTGCTCCATAATGATATGACTAGTGCAGAACACATGATGTTAAGGTCACCCAAAGAATATATAGTGCTTCATAACATGTAACCCCAAATGCATGTCCTCACCTATAGCTTGATTATGCTCCCTTGCTGCTCTGCATTTACAGTGAAGGGCTTCATTCCAGGAAAAGGACTCAAGTAAACACAGCACTTGATTTGCTTGCATTTTCCACCAAACTGATGCAGCACAGCCATAGCACGCAGGATTTGATAGTATGCTCTCTCTAGTCACGGGTCCTGTGAAGGATGTCCCACTCTAACCACAGAACTGGCCATACACCCAATCCCGTTCCTTGTGGCTAACCGGTCTGCCTGCCTCTGCCAGCAGCGTGACCCGCCATGGCCACACTCGTGCCGGCAGACATGTCGAGCAGTGCCGAGCTGGTGCACAGCCTGCGAGCCGTGGTGCCGACCCTGCGCAGCGGCCTACACAAGGGCCAGGCGGGCCGCATCGGCATCATCGGCGGCAGCGCCGAGTACACGGGCGCGCCGTTCTACGCGGCCATGGCTAGCATGCGCGCCGGCGCCGACCTGGCGCACGTGTTCTGCCCGCGGGATGCCGCCGCCGCGCTCAAGGCCTACAGCCCCGACCTGATCGTGCACCCGGTGCTGGACGGACCGGACCCGGTGGCGCAGGTGCGCGAGTGGGCGCCGCGGCTGTCGGCGCTGGTGATCGGGCCCGGTCTGGGCCGCGAGCGGCACGCGCTCGACGCCGCGGCGCGGCTGGTCGAGGCGCTGCGCCCGCTCGAGCTGCCGATGGTGTTCGACGCGGATGCGCTGTGGCTGCTGACGCAACAGCCTGACCTGGTGAGGGGCTACCACAGCGCCGTGCTCACGCCCAACGCCATCGAGTTCGCCCGCCTCTACAAGGCCGTCATGCATGAGGAGCTCGACGTCGACTGTTACGGCGAGCAGCACGCGCGCGCCCTCTCGCGCGAGCTCGGCGACGTGGCGCTGGTGAAGAAGGGCCACAAGGACCTGCTGGCGTGCGGCGACACCGCGCTGTGGTGCGCCGAGCCCAGCAGTCCGCGCCGCTGCGGCGGCCAGGGCGACCTGCTGGCCGGCACGCTGGGCACGCTGCTCCACTGGACCAGGAGCGCCAACCAGTCGCTGGCCGTCGACCCCCGCCTGCTGGCCGCCTACGGCGCATGCGCACTGACCCGGCGCGCCTCTCGGCTCACGTTTGAGCGGCTGGGGCGCAGTATGCTGGCGAGTGACATGCTGGCGCAGGTGCACCCGGCCTTCGAGCAGCTGCTGGAGAAGTGAGTTGCGCCGGCGGGCGCGGTGGCTGGGTCGGGGGTAGGAGGGGGTAGCGTCTGCCGGTGGGACGCAGCTCGCGCTCACCTCCGGCGCTGGTGGGTTTGTGCTGAAGACAGCAGATGGCGACGGAAGCAGCCAAGTGATATACCGACCGGGCGTTTGACACGGTAATTACCAATTGTCGTGTGGGTTGTTTTAGCCGCAATGCTTCCCGAGATTGCATATCTTCTAATATAACATATTGCTGGAGACGTACTGTTTCCATGTGTTCTTGTTGGTGAACCCAATGATACGGCAAGATGTGAGCGATTACTATTCATTCACAAACGCGCAAAAAAGGTACTGAAGTAACGAATACGGTACGAACACAATCTCATGCCGTCTGTGACTGGCGGACCGACACCAAAGGTAAATCTCGAAAAATGCAGATATCACGGTTTCACCACAATGCGGTACCTACGCGAACAAAATTGGTAACTACTTCGATGACGCCGGAGCCGCAGAGCCTTCCGTGTACATACGCGATCCTCAAAACATTGTGCGTTCCGACCAGATGCCGACAGCTACCTTTTGACGGCCGTCCCAGTCTGAAGTTTGAACATATCTCAACAGTCATCCTAAACACAGTACGACTTGAACCAAGAGACGCCGAATTCCCGGCTGTTGAACAACATACGGACGTAGAACATGGTCTGTTTCCTCCAAAAAGAGGACACGAAGCTCTCTGGCAGCAAGCATTCTGTAGAAGCCATGCAGTGACAGCTTGCAGGAAACAGGCAACAAGCTGATACTCAACACCCGCCGTGGAACACATGAGAGGGATGCCTAAACTCAAAACTACATGAACTTCAACGGTCCAAAACGGACCATAACGACAACAAGTGACGGGTAGCGAAGACAGCGCCAGGTGAAGACCAGACAATACCGCAATGTCTGGGAGCGCTGAGGGTCTCCCGAGCCTGTGTAAGAGGACAACTACACAAAGGCTACAGACAGCCGTGATGTCGTCATTTAGACTGACTAGTCCAGCCGTCTTCACTGGTTACCCTTATCAGCTGACTACGCAGCCTGGTCCAGCTGTTCCATCCCCACTTGGCGCAGACGAGCGAAGCGTTGACATTTCTGTCTCGTGGGGTTCGTAGCACCCCGTCACAAAACCAGCAGCACAGCCAACATCAGAGCCATGCTGGCCAGCTGATGTCAGCCAGTGAGACACACTGCCGTATTTGGAACAGGGATGAGGCGAAATTCGCCACTGTCTCCACCGTCCCTCGCCATTGAAACAGCCATCCATCATCACGGCTCCGTCGCGGCCGAGGCGCATCCGCCCACCTCGTTGGTCCGCTCCAGCCCGTCCCAAAACCACGGCCACCAACTCGCCGCCGAGATCAGTCGCCAGACCGAGGTCTCGGGAGGCCTCGGGAGGCCTCGGGAGGTCTCGGGAGTCTCGAGGCTGGCCAGCTCGGCCTGTAACGCTACCCGAGCTGCGAGCTGTCCCTCCCTTCCGGACTGGGCGCCCGCCTGGCGCCACCGGCGTCGGTGCAGGGGCAGACTCGCTCCGCCACCGGCCGGCGGCGGCACTAGCACCGGTCAACGAACAGCTGCAGGTCGAGCTTGAGGTCGACCTCGCCGCGTCTGACCTCGTGCAGCGGCAGTCGCTTGATGATGGGGCCGCGGTAGCGCTGGCTGTCGTTGTGCACGTCCGAGACGCGCAGTTCGGTGCGGCCCAGGAACTCTGCCGCAAGCCGCCACCGGTCAGCGGTGCGCCACACCCACGGGTCACGGATGGGTCGCGGGGTCGGTGGTTTGGTGGCAGGTGTGCTGGGAACAGGATCAGCAAACCCGCGGCCACCCGCGGCCGCCGGCGGCCCAATGGCACTAAAACGGCGAGCGAATAACGCACTCACTACCCACATGTTCCTCACTTCTACGACAGCAACATTTTCAAGCGATGGACCACGGGCCCCACTCCCCCGTCCTTCATTCTAATGGAAGATGATTGCCCAGACTTTCATTCGCAAGCTGCATTGCTGAAGTGAACACAGCCGGTTGGCCGGGGTGCGAGAAGCCTGACTGCGCTTTACGACGCGATCCCTCCCACACACCACCTCGCAGACAGCCACCAGCGTCCCCCTCTCACCGTTGGGCGAGAAATGGTCCCGGTCGAACACCGAGATGCAGAGCACGTCGTCGCGGATGTCCTTGACCAGGAACTGCATGCTGTGGTTCCAGCGCGGGTTGAGCGTGCTCTCGATGACTGGCGTGCGCTGCACCTGGCTGCCCATGGTCAGCTCGCAGTACGGGTCGCTCTTGCCTGGCCGCGAGAGGGAGAGGGGTGAGGCACGGCTCGGAGCGCCCCCTGGCGCGGGCGACCGTGCGTCTCGCTGCTGGCTTACAGACGGAACGCGCCCCGCCCAGTCAGCTCCAGAGGGTGGTCGACGGACGGGTTGTTCCGCAACGGTCTTGTACATCAAGGGATCTCCCGCACTCGGCTCAGATGGACGCTTTGTGAGCGCTTAAACATGTCCCACAGTCACAGTGTTCTGCACATCTCAGTGCGACATCCACCGACGCAGTGTCGCCGCGATACGGTATGATTCGGTCAGGCAAACATTGGCACATGAAGCGATCGAACGGATATTCTTTCGTTCGATGCAAGAAAGGCCCGGTGGAAAATGAGCATGATGAACGCATGCATTTGCATTTTTGTTCATCGTCCATTTCCAAATGTTTCCAATTCAACGACATCGATCCCTTCGCAGTTCCATGCGTCCTTGCATTCATGCAGCAAGGTTGAAGTTGGCTCACGAAAAGTGTCATAAAACGTCTCCGAGCATAACGCGTAATCTAAATTATCGGATCCCCTGTTAACGTGCTTGTATCCAGCATTGGTACAGATGCTGCGGAAGGATATCGTTTTAACCATTTCCCGGACAGAAACACCCATAAAACCCCCCCACCGTGACAGCACAGCACAGCTCATGCCAAACCAAAGGAACAAAAGGGATCAAGGAACCTTGCCCCAGGACTCCGGTATTCCGATGTGACCAAGTATACAAACCATGAATGGAAGCACACGGCCTAGCTTTTGACCCGACCGTGTCAAACGGCAAGCAGCAATAAAGCGGCTCGCAACATTGGAACGTTTCACGGAACCATGCACGAATTTCTCAGGTAGTTTCAAGTTACATCTCCCGTTTCAAAGGACTGAACGGGGCTGCTAGTTGTAAGGTAAAGATTGATCCTTAACACGTCACAGATTCTGTTTCGCTATCAAAATCATGAACGGCACGAACATCGAACAAGCTTTTTGTCTCCGACCATTATCAAGCGGGGCTAACTGGTTGAATGTTCATAGAAACTTAACATTCTCCAGGAACTAGTCGACATCATTTCAATCAATGTCATGTAGCCATTACCATTCCTAGCAAATTTCTTCCTTCAACATAGCAAAACCGTTTGAAACATGTCAAGAGGTGGGCATTTATGCTAACGGATGACATATCCCTGAAATATGGCAATTTCCTTCAGGGAACACTTGAAATTCCACAGCACGAAAAATGTAATGGACGTTTTAGCCGTCACAGCAAAACTTTCGACTCAGCTCGGACCAACTCGCGGCAAGGCATCGGGACATCAGGACGAGCATTAGTGGTGCGGCATGCGTGGAAAGGCATTAGTCATATTTACCGTTTCGGTCGCGTGCTTCCAGGTGCGTGGCGCGATACACAGTGACTAGCAAGTGCCCCCGCGGCCGCCTATAGACTAGGGGCAGAGCAGGCAGTCAGCATGCAGCGGGGTGCACACGTGCTTACCGTCTGGCCCGGCAGACACTAGCCGATTGGCCGACATGATGAACACCAGGAGGCGGCCGCACGCGGCAAACTTGGCCTCCCCTGCGTCCCAGGCCCGGTTAGCGGCACGCACCACACACGCCGGACACGCGCCAGGCGGCGGTGAGGTGGTAGACCAGACCGGAGGCTATGTCGGTGTCTCAGGCGTCGGTGCAGATAAATGTGGGGTAGATACTCAAGAATACAATTGTCGGAGCACGTCAGCTAGACTGTGATATTACCATAACAAACGTCATGTCTCCCAATGCAAGCCTCGGCACTGAGACGTGTCGATTCATTGAGACAGTTCAAAAATATTTGGGAAGCTTCGGTTATGACAGGAATATTTGAACAGTTTCGCCGATCTGATAGTTCCATTCAGAGCAATGACTATTTTAGCCTCCCGAGCCAGCAACACACCCCACCCACCCTCAATCGTGCAACTCAACCCCAGCCCGCGCACCGCCCGCAAACATGCATCACGCCACGCACGTGTCTGCGAGGTGCGCCCACCCGCCACGCTCCCTCCCCTCCCGTGTCCCGTCCGGCGCGCGCGAGCGTCGGCGACGGCGGCGTCACTCACGAGAGTGCTGCCGCTGCAGCTCGCACTGCTCCCGGCTCTTGAACGTGTCCTGGGCGGCCAGCAGCTGCTTCAGCCAGAGGTCGCGCGCCACACGATTGCTTGCGGTCAGCGAGATCACGTGACCGGAACAGGTCAGCACCAGCGCGTCCGAGTCGTCCTCCGGCGGCGACACCTCCAACTCGCCCAGGAACAGTGGCTGCCGGTCAGGGCCGCGTGAAGTCGGACGCCGCCGCTGGCAGACATCCAGGGTCTGCTGTCACAGCTCTGGGAGGTGTAAGCCCGGGCGGGTCGTGGTTTGATGGAAACAGTGTAAGCTGCTAAGTTAGGGACAGAACCAATGTTTATCATTTCCGACATATCCGTATCGCGCAGTGCCACGCGAAGTTGAAAGTCGCCAAGAGATTATCAACCATTGCCAACGTACCGAAATATTGGGACAAAAATGTAAGATACGGTTTTGAGCTTAATCCACGCTGCCTCTCCCCCCGCCCCCTCCCCCCCCCCAACCGCCACCACCGTAAAGGCAGGCAAAATAATGGCCAATCCCAAGGAGGCGCTCGTTAACGCCAAAAAAGCGCATCCTCGCTCATGGCATTTCCTCCCATAAAAACTAAAGAAAAAAAAACAATGCTAAAAGACCCATCCCGTGCAGCCCTTGACAAAACGTCCGTCTGTTATCGTTAGCCCCAACAATATTAGTTTTTTAGAAGGCGGGTGGATAGGGAGTCTCTGCATCCGGTGAAGGAGAAAAATTTCGACGAGAAAACAAAAAGGTCAGGCTCAACCTCGGTACAAACCCGAATAACTCATTTTCTCACCTTTTTGTACAATTTGAACTTGAGGTTGGAGAGATTCCTGTCGAACTCCAGCTGACTCACATTGCCCAGCGGCTTTCCGGGCGTGGTCAGCATCACGAAGTCGTTGAAGAGAAAAGCTACCACCTCTCTCCCACTCTTAGTCTGAAACACGGCCTCGCGCGCTACAGCTGGATCCTTACATCACGCCACGAGTTGCAACAGCAGCCACTAACAACGCAACTGCCATCGATGTAAGTTTGGCAGTCCTGTTCCTGCATCACCATCCAACATTCAACACTGAAATATTTCGCGGAGGTAAGAGGGAAGATACTTGTTATACGAGCCATGTCAACAAGATAAGTTACCACCATGGACAAAAGGTGTCAAATGCGCCGCGGGGACAAGAACGAACAAAAAGCCTGGCATCACCGACGCTCGTCCAGCCGTGCCACAGCCTCCCAGCGCCGGGTCGGCCAGCTGCGGCGACAACGGACCTTCTTCAGCAGGCCGAAGTGGATGAGCCGGCGCGGCCCGGCCGAGTTGGTCATGGAGTTGAAGACGATGCGCTCGGGGATGTCGGAGCAGTCGATGTGCTCCTGCATCCACTCGAGGCGGTCCGAGTTCTGCTGCTCCCGAACGCCCTCGTTCACCTGACCGCGCGGCGGAGAGCGTCGATCCACGGCACGGCACGGCACGACACGGCACAGCACGGCGCGGCACGTCGCGTCTGGCGGTTCCATGTCCGAGCGACACATGGTGACACTGCTCCGGTAAGACGGCAGCATCCTGGGCCAGAGCACCACGACACGTCTGGGTGCATCGAAGACGGCACTACCACGATGACATGGCGACGATCAAGAGCACCACTCATTAAGTGCCACCCGGCGCTCATTGAGGGACACCGTGCACAAGCCAGCAGTGCTGCGCTGAGACCTTTTTAGGCCCGGTTCGAGTCCCCAAACGGTCACGTGACCGGCGGCCGGCCGGTGCGCGCGCCGTCTCACCTCTCTGCACAGCTCCTCGGCCCGGACCAGCGCCTCCTCCAGGTTCGCTCGGTCCGGGTGGCCGGCGCCGGTGTACTTGAGAATCTGGCGAATGACACGTGGTCAGCACAGGGCAGGCGCGCCGCGACAGAACACAGAGACACGTGCCAGAGGGTGCACCGCTGCCGGCCGTGGTACTCAACGGTGCTCGTGGTAGCCCTCGCGACAGCGGAGATCGAGCTGGGGGTATCTGGTGAAGCACTAGGTGCGTCCGATCACTGACCTGTTTCAGCTCAGCAGGGGGTACTTGGTGACGCGCTGGGTGGGTCTGACCTTTGACATGTTTCAGATCAGCAGGAGGCACTGGGTGGGTCTGATCACTGACCTGTTCCAGCAGCAGGGGGCACTTGGTGACGCGCTGGGTGGGTCGATCACTGACCTGTTTTAGCAGCAGGGGGTACCTGGTAAAGCACTGGGTGGGTCTGATCACTGACATGTTTCGCAGCAGGGGGTACTCGGTGGCGCGCTGGCCAGGTCTGACCACTGACCTGTTTCAGCGGGGGTACGTGATGACGCGCTGGGTGGGTCCGATCAGACCTGTTTCAGCAGCACGAGGGTACTTGGTGACGCATTGGGTGGGTCCGATCACTGACCTGTTTTAGCAGCAGGGGGTACCTGGTGACGCATTGGGTGGGTCCGATCACTGACCTGTTTCAGCAGCAGGGGGTACTTGGTGACGCGCTGGGTGGGCTTGAGCAGGAAGCTGCTCAGCGGCATACCGGCGGCCCGCGGGTCGCTCTGGCAGCGGCGCACGGCCTCGTCAAAACGCGGGTATTGCACTTTGCGCTGCAGCAGCGTGGCGGCGCGCAGCTGGCAGCTGCAGAACCGCATGTAGGACGTCATGTTCGGCAGCTGCAAGAAACGAGGAGGCACATTAACGTTCTGCAGTCTGGAGGCGGCGCGATAGGTGGCGCGTTAACGTTCTATAGTCTGAATCTGCATCGGATGGAGACCAGCAAGTCATGTGCAGTATTGAGGCGTCGCAAACGACGTAAACGCGGTATGACCATGAAGGAAACACTTTGGCTATAAATTCAGGTCCTGTAAAACTCACTCAGAACCGGAGGCAGAGAAAGACAGAGCTAGACCAGGAAAAATGTCAATCCAAGTGCGAGCAGCTTGAATGGAAAGCCAACCCAAAGTCCCACCAATCCACAGTTCCGTCAACCGTTCGCCAAAAGCCCCATAGAATCCACGGAAGCTCCAGCCGTTTCATGTTCCTGTTCCACCAGACAGCGCCCCACGTCCAGACGTCCCGCGTCTGTATCGCGTCGGCCGTCTCGGCGGTGCTCCCGGCACCGACTCACGTTCTCGCACAGGATGTCACCGATCAGGTGGATGACGCCGCCGGCCGACATCTTCCGACGCACGCGGAAGGCCACCATCAGCTTACGGCTCGCCTTGACCAGGTCAGGCCAGTTGACGAACAGCACGCGCGCCTCCTCCCGCGTCAGCACGCCTTCCGACACCAGGGGGCGCCGGAACACCTGCGGCAGAGGGAGAGGGCACGGTCAGGGACGGACGACACCAGGGGGCACCGGAACACCTGCGGCAGAGGGAGAGGGCACAGTCAGGGACGGACGACACCAGGGGGCACCGGAACACCTGCGGTAGAGGAGACCCCGCTGGGCCATCTGACAGTTCACAGCAGCCCGCCAGTCGCAAATCTCGATAACATTCGAATCCAGTGCTGACGAGAATACCAGCGACGTCGTCTTCAGTGTACCTTGTTTACAAATTGGGAACCCGTCTGAAGGCCCCACCACAGCTGTCAGCGTCCGAATGAAGTGCCACTTTGCGCTCCTGAGATAAGCGGACATTCACATCGGATGTTGCCAGGCGAGAACTTTACACGTCGTTACGGCGAGGTTCGTCACAGTTTGACTGCCCGGCTCCACAAACGGCGGCGGTCGCGGGCCGCTGGGAAGGTCACAGTGCGGCACACAGCCGGCCGCCGAGACTGACCTCTGTGACGAGCGACATGCTGGTCAGGTAGCTCTGCTCGCTGTCGATCAGCTCGGCGATGGCCTCCTGGCGCTGGCGCTCCTCCTCGCTCGGCGGCGGCTCGTGCGGCGAGCGCGGCGCCTCCTCCTCCGCCGGGCTGCCGCCGTGCTCGGACCAGCCCGGCGGCGAGTCGGCCTCGTCTGGAGAGCGGCGGCGCGCCGGTGGTCAGCTGGGCCACCCCACCAGCGGCGGCGCTGGGCCGGCGCAGTGGCCAGAGGTGGGTGTGGGTCAGACTGGGCAGCGGCACCGGGGCGTGTGGGTTCCCCATTTGAACCCAAGCAGCCGTCCTCACGACACAAGGCACGTACAGGGCTTCGTGGGGACCGGCAGCGCCCAGCACCATCCACCATGCATCAATGCACGTGCCAGGGGGCTTACACGCGTGGTAGCGCTGTGAGACCACGTCATGAGACCGAGTGGCGCGTGGGCCGTGGCCACGCGCGCAGCCAGCCCACAGTATAACTAACCACTAGCGCAGCCTCTACGCCGGAGGGATCCGGTCGTCGGCATGGGGACACGACGAGCTTGCGAGCGTGCCCACGATCCGTGCGGACCGCCGTGGCGGTGCAGCAGAGTCGCCGCCGTTCGGCCAGGGCGGCGCCCCCGGCTGCGGGGGTCGGTTGGGAGTAGACAAACGCCCAGACGACTCCCGGCATCAGTGAACAGGCGGGCCTGAGTGGCGGCACGGTGACACTGGACGGGCGCGCGGCGGGCACGTTGCGTCGCAGCCGCGAACAAACCCACCAGAACGCGCCAGTCAACGCGGGCTAAAAGGCGACCGGGTTGATACAGCTGGCACCTAAGTCTGTAGGAACCCCAACAGACTCGCCCTTGCCCGTGCTGAGCTAAATCCCAACCACTGAAAACGGCTCCACGTCCTGTGTAAACGCTGTCTTCACGCAGCGTTATTGGCCGTTGTCGACAGCTGACGTCGCCGCCCCAGGGCCTAACGCCCACTTGCCGTCCAGCGATCTCCTAAGAACCCAGTGGCCTTATCACCACCGGCGGGAGACGACACACACCGCCGAGTGCATTACCGTGTATTACACCGACACATAATACGGGGGCAGCAGGCAGCGACGCCGCGACAGGCGAGCAGTGGAAGAGGCCGTGGCGAGGTCACAGGACGGCCAGCTGCGCCAGCACCGCTACCCGCGCCCCACACCGAATAAATAACACTAGGATAACGTGGAAATCGTATCACCCGACTAATCCGCGGAGCCACGCACCATCGAGGCTACTGGCACACTCGTACGAACAGCGTGTTCCACGACAGAGCGAGTGGTATTATGCGTAGAGAGTGCCACGACGGGTCTACGGTGTGCAGCAGAGCAGGCTGCGCGGCTGGCAGCGTCCTCCAAGCGTACAGCGGCGTGTGGCGAAGACATGACTAACCGTGTGCCCCGACTGATTGCGGTAGGAAACCAGCAAGTAACCCAACTAAGCGCCATTAAGAGCCGCCCAACCAGCTCAGTGAGGATCGCATTGCGGAAGGACGAGCCGACAGAGCAGGGTACCCTCAAGGGGTGCAGAATGTTCAACGCTTCTGATCACCTAGAATCAGCCGATACCCCAGAGGTGCTAAGGAAATGCAGGAGGCCCGATGACCGAGCGTGAGGAATCACGCCGCGGCTAATCCGGATATACAGCGAGTCTAAGACCATATAGTCACGTAACGAACCGGGTATTATCAGGAGATTAAACAGTTGTATGACCAGGCCGTCAGGAGACGCAACGGTATAGTGAGACACGTCAGCTTCCCATCATCATAATCTGGATAATAGGCGGCCTATGAAAATCCCACGGTGCTTACAGCGCCATAAACAGTGAACGAACCGCCGCGGGGTCAGCTCGTCGCCATATGTAACCAATATGCACCACCGATTTCTGCCTTAGGAACAGGGCAGTATATAACTGGGAAACCAAGTAACTGGCTCATGACATGTCACTTCGCACGCTGTTCATTCAAACAGAATAGCCAATAACCTTGTCTGAATCCAACGCTACCCATGGCACATACCACGTTCCGCGCGCCTACCCGAACCTCCACAACCAGAACCACGCACAGTGATATAAACCTACATCACCACGACTCGCTACGCATCCACTCCACGGGCGACTATCTTGACTCAAACAACATCAAAGGTACACAAATGGAATAATACGACGGCCTCTGACGACCGCCCTCGCCTCTACCAGCAGCACTCTACCGAACAAAAGACGGATAAACGCGGCCTCTGTTTAAGCGTAATCCAACAACAGACTGAGCCTGGCATCCAGTCGCCCGCTCCCTCGCATCACCACCGCCGGAGCGGCGACGGCCACAGCGCAACTCAGATCTCGTGTCGGAGCGGAGCGGGCGCAGCGCGGCGGCCCAACCAAGCAAAACGCGTCAACCAACCGTAAAACCGTCACAACAAAGCCGCCGGCGGGCCGAGCGCCGAGTGGGCGCCGGCCGGCGGAGCTGCCGCCGCAGGTGAGAGCGCTACGCTACAGACAGACGGCGGGAGAGGGAGCGCGCGCCCGCGGCTGGCGCCGGAACGGGCCGCGACTCTGACGGACAGCCACGAGCCGACACAGACGAGACGACACCGACAGACGCACAGGCGCGAGAGAGAGGAGAGAGCGCGTGAGGGCGAGACGGCGACCGCGGCGGCCGGGGTCGACAGAGGTCGAGGCGGCGCGACGGCGCGGCGGCCGCGCGCCGCCAACAGTCAGCGTCTAACCAGTCAGTCCTGCGGAACAGAGTCCAGCGTCAGAGGGCGTTCCACGGGCGCCGCGGCGCGGCCGGCGGAGCGCAAGGGGGGGGGGGGGGGGCTCCAAGATAGTTACTTCGAGATGACTTGTGCAGACAGGCCGGATCTCAGCAATGATTTACCGTCATACTCCGCAAACATGAAATGGCACGTCAAGTCAATAGATGAAGCCCACTGCTGCCGTGCAGGCATTGTGGCATTGTTGATAGCTAAGCTAGAAGCCTGGTTAGAGCGGGACTCGGAACGGCCACGGTTGCTGCATGCGGACTGTGGAACGCCCTCGTCACCGTGTCTGCCGTCGGCGAGCGTTTGTCCGCTACATGTCCAGCGACTCTCAGCGAGTGCACGTGTCCACATGGCACAGAGGCTGAGCTACGGTGCGCATGCGCATTCATCCACACAGCAAACCACACTGGACCAGAGGGTGCGAGCGAACCCCTCCGGCGCCGACGGCTGTCACTGACAGAACGGTCCAAGGGTCACGAAGCATGTCTGAACGACGGACGTCTGTCTCAGGCCGAGCCGACGGTTTACCACAGATGACAACAGCCGTGCCACTAACACAAAACACCAAGGACGGGGATCTGGGAGGATTCTGCCAGGATCGCAGGGGGTGTGCAACAAATTGCGTGCTGGCCAGTCATTCGTCGTCGGTAGGTCAACGAAAAAAATCGCCCCATACACCGACACAACCGCCCAAAAGCCAGAGGCCTCTCCCGCTACAGTCCGCAGCCCACTACTGCACCGCGCCAGTGCCGGGAGTACTCAGCCGTTCGCGTACTCACATTGGGCCGTCTTGGGCGCCACGTAGTTGGAAGGGAAGAGGCCGACGATGCCGTTCAGCTCGCCCTTCCACCAGGCCGTGTCGTCCTGGAGGCAGGGGGCGGGACCGTCGGGTTACGAGCCGCCACCCGTCCCCGGTCCGGGGGATACCACGAGCGACGACACACCACAGTCCCGCGCCCCTCGGTTATGCCGCGGCTTCATCGCAAATGGCACACGCGAAAGCCAGATGCGATTCACGGCACAGTTCGACCGACCGCCGTGGTCTCGCTTTCGGTCTCCCTCGCGGCGCGCTGTTCCGGCTGTTCTGCTTCACCTTGTTGACGACGGAGATAACGTCGTCGGCCTGGAACGTGAGCTCGTCGTCGTTCTGCGCCGCGTACGGGAACTGGGCCACCACCAGCTCTGAAACGTCACGCCGCCTTCAAAACGCCTGCTTACGCGGCGAATGAACCTCATAAATACCGCCATGAGGGTCACACCAACACCCCATCAAACAAAACATTAAACGGCTGATAACTACTTGGCAACAAACGGCTTTCACAAACGCGACAAAAAATACAAGTGCACCCCGACGACTGCAAAAACGGTTTAAAAAACTGGAGTCTATCGCTTCCAAAACAAGCCACAAAAAGCCAGCGCGACCTCCAGAAAAACCGCAGTACACGCTGCCACTCCGGGCAGCAAACCCCGTGCCTACGTCGCTTCAGGCAGCTGCATCACGCCGCCGTCTGCCTCCCTCGCCCTCCCTCGCCCGCGTGACCCCGGTCGGTGCGCGGCACCTTTGGGCGCGCCGGGGTGGGGCGCCGGCGCGTCTCCCGGACACTGATCGTCGGGCATCGGTGGCTCCGTCTGCCTCCCCCCCCCCCCCCCCTGCGTGGCTCCGGTCCGGCGCGCGGCACCTTTGGGCGCGCCGGGGTCGGGCGCCGGCGCGTCTCCCGGACACTGAGCGTCCGGCATCGGTGGCTCCGTCTCGTCCGGGATCGACATGCGGCGCGACGTCTTCAGCTTAACGAAGGACGCCGGGAACCAGCCCACCTGGCGCTGCTTGCCGCGCATCTGAGGAGCAGGCGGACGGGTCAGCGCCGGGCCGCCGGGTCGGCACCGGACGGGTCAGCGTCGGGCCGCCGGGTCGGCACCGGACGGGTTAGCGCCGGGCCGCCGGGTCGGCACCGGACGGGTCAGCGTCGGGTCACTGGGTCGGCACCGGACGGGTCAGCGTCGGGCCGCCGGGTCGGCACCGGACGGGTCAGCGTCGGGCCGCCGGGTCGGCACCGGACGGGTCAGCGTCGGGCCGCCGGGTCGGCACCGGACGGGTCAGCGCCGGGCCGCCGGGTCGGCACCGGACGGGTCAGGGCACCATTGAAGTACGGAGGCTATGCACTGCGGAGCCTGCCGTAGACTGGAATGGTTGAAGGGAGTGTTTTCACATTTATACGGGGTTTTGAACTGAAATAGCTATCCTGAAGACCTTTCGATCCTGTCCACAATCCTGCCCTTCTTCAGGCCTAAGCCCCTCTAGTTTCTGAAACACACGCCCGTGAGAATAATGAAACGTAGTGCGTGCGGAGGGGGGGGGGGAGGGAAAGGGGAAGAGGTAGTAACAACCCAGTGAGGTCAGCACTGGATTGGGAGAACAAAACTGATTTGGGAGTAAGGGGCCAGAACATTTCTTCCATGGACAAGCGAGTTCCTCACTGGAGAAGTCAGTAACGGACCAGAAGGGTCAAACACGGATTGAGAAGCATGGGAGTTACCTAGTGAGATGAGGTGTGCAGCACAAGCTTTTACACATGAAGCATAGAACCACCCGCAAAGTTGACTGCAACGTCACTTGACTGTCAGCACTTGCTCCCAGATGCTAGCTGGCTTGGATGGCACCGGTCCAGCCCGATTACCGTCGGCCGTCCCAACACCCCGGGGCCTCACCTGGATCTCGCCCTCCCACCAGCACGGCCCGATTACCGTCGGCCGTCCCAACACCCCGGGGCCTCAACTGGATCTCGCCCTTCCACCAGCACGGCCCGATTACCGTCGGCCGCCCCCAACACCCGGGGGCCTCACCTGGATCTCACCCTCCCACCAGCCCGTCTCCGACTTCTTGCGCACCATGACCAGCTGGCCGCGGCCGAGCGTCAGCTGCTCGGAGCTGGTGGCCTCGTAGGGCGCGATCGCCACGGCCACCTCGCCCTTCCGCTTCTGTGGCAGGTCGGCGGGCCCGGTCAGCTGGCGCCGCGGCCGCCGGGGCTCGGGCCGCGCCGCCCGGCGCGGGCCGGCTGTGACCGTGCTCGTGACGCGCTGGACGCGGATGGTGCGCGCGGCAGGTGGAGCGGGACGGACGGAGCGACGGCGCGGAGGAACTGGAGACGTGGGTGGAGTGATGCGCCACGTAACGACAGGACTCGGGACACGTCCGGTCTCTGACAGAGGGGCATGGCCGGGGCAGCGGCACAGTGCGAGCAGGCATCATCAATGTATGGTGAATGCATGATGACCTAAACGCAACCGTTTGTGGTGGACATTAATGTGACATGAGTAAAGTTATCCAGCCCCATACCCAAGGTATATATATATATATATATATATATATATATATATATATATATATACATGCCCTGGATGGAAACTTGTCGAGGTACATGAAATATTTCTATGTCACGCACTGCGTGGGTTAGAACGATCATGAAATGGAGCACCAATGAAAAGAATACGGATAGCACGAATATGTGCTGCGGCGACAAAAAGAAATTAGGCATTTACAACGCACACCTGGCTATTACAGACGTAAAGTCTGTGGCCATCAAGCAATCGCTGAAACCACAAAGCGACAAAATGCCCGTGATTAAGCTCAGTTGCAAATGAAAGTTGGCAGACGTCACATGCAGGAACAGATCAGGATGCTCGAGCTTCGTAACACCGCCAAACGGCGATACTGCTGGCGACGTTGAAACATGATTAATTTAACGCATATCAAAGGCACTGATAGAGAAACGCAGTGCTTTCAATAACCAGTAATGGGCGATGTTAAAGCCTGAGCGTATATCAATGGTCGTAATTTGGGGCCAACCGAAAATGCTCAGACTTTAACAATCGACATACTACCTGTTTAAAACACTGCGTGTCTCTTAAACTACAATAGTGTAATTGGAATCTGCTCGGCATTGCAACATTCTATGTTATGAGCATGCACATAACAGTAGCGCACATGCAGCTGGGGCCCTGCGCGCGCTGTGGGGTCCTGCCCCTCAGTCTCGCTATGCCCTGTAGCTTAACCATGCGGAATAAGCTTTAAGTAGGTGGCCGGTGTTGCCGACTGTGTGGCAAGACTGCCGAGGCCGGAGGAGCGCGTCCCAGCTGACGGAGCGGCCGACGACGACACTCACCCTCCCCAAGCCGGTCACTGGACTCAAACCAATCGACTACTCTCCACGACACACGATAAACAACCAAGCAACACGGCAAAATCGCTGCCTACGCCAAAATAGCGCGAGAATACATGTGCACAGATCCTACGGTTGACACCACGATCCCATCCGGTTCCATGCTTATGGGATACTGGGATCAAATCCTGAGATGGGGCTCTATGTGCATGCTTGGCGCTGGCATCGCCTAACTGAGCTATCGGCGCACAGCCGCGCGCCGCGGCGGCCAGAGCGGCGAGCCGAGCCAGCGGCCGGCCGCCAAGCCCCGCCTCACGCCGAGGTGGCGCCAACGCAGGCGTCGGCTCACTGTACACTACACAGCCGCCAACGGCACCGGTCTGCATGCCGAGCGGGGTGCGGGTACGGGTGCGGGTACGGTTGCGGGTGCCGGTGCCGGTGCGGGTGCGGCTGCAGGTGCGGGACTGCGGCGCAGCAGGCCCGCACGGTACCTTGACGCTGGGCGCCCGGCAGACCCCGGTCGCTTTGGGAGGCCGGCTGGGCTCGGGCTGACGCGGGACGGGGCGGACAGACACAGGCGGGCTGTTAGCGACGCTCCGTACGGCGCTCCGACAGGCGCGGACGGGCGGGTCACTAGCACAGGGCGCGCGCAGGCGGGGCGGCGAGGGCGACGAGCAGCCGCCACGCGGCCGACAACGTCGGGTCTACGTTGTCGTGCCACGGGACGGGGGCGTGAAGAAGATGGCTGGGAAGGTTGCAGCCGTCGGAAAACTGCTATTTCTGTCGTCCCGTGAATGCCTCGCTAAGGACCGGTGAGGCAAGACGGAACCGAGACGAGGAGGAGGAGGAGGAGGAGGAGGAGGAGGAGGAGGAGGAGGAGGAGGAGGAGGAGGAGGAGGAGGAGGAGGGAGGAGGAGGAGGAGGAGGAGAGAGAGAGAGAGAGAGAGAGGAGAGAGAGAGAGAGAGAGAGAGAGAGAGAGGAGAGAGAGAGAGAGGAGAGAGGGAGGGGGAGGAAGGAGGAGGAAGGGGAGGGGAGGGGAGGGGAGGGGAGGGACGAGGGGAAGGGCGGGGAGGTGAAGTGATTCTCGGGGATTCCGTGGGGACAGGACCTAAAAGGGGCCGCAGGGGACTCGACGGGACCTGAGGGGATCGGGGCCGCACGGATCCACGGGCCGCTGCCAGCGTTGTGCAGTCAGTCCCAAGGGACACCCGGGACAGGATGCTACAGGGCACTGATGTCAGTCCAGGGCTACCGGGCACCAGGGAGGAGGGGGGGGGGGGGGGGCGGGGCGGGGAGGCAAGACAGCAGCGAGGGTAGGAGGCCACACCGGCGGCGCCCGTTTGCCAGTTAGCAGTTCGCCGGTCACAATACAAGCGGTACAATGTTCACAGCACAAGCCGCCCGCTGATACCGGTGTACACGGACAACGTAACCGCCCGGCACAGGAGCCGAGAAGAGAGGCATGACGCAGCTCTAGCCAACAAAGCAGAGTCGCCGCACAGAGCTGAGAAGGCGGTGGTGACACGCGATGGGACACCGAGACTAGGGACACAGAGCCCGAGGCCGCCGCGGAAAAGACATGCCCGCGGCAAGCCGTCAGTACTTTCCTTGTCTCTCCGCTCTGGCACAGGAAGTAGGTTAGGCCCTACGTTCTGAACCTAGAAACGGTTGCAGCAGCATTGATTGACGGCGAGCGTTTCCACGCCGCCGTGCGTTCAAAAAAGACATGTACCAAGGAATTGGCGCAGCGTTCGTGACAACTGCCGTGCTTTAAATGGCTGCCTGTTCGTTCTCAACCTTTACGTCATGACGCTGGTCTCGAAAACATGGGGACACATCTGCCCAACGGCAAGATCTGCCCGAGAAACATCCGATAAACATCCAGCCAAACACCGCCGGGCAGACGACGACACCGAAGTACACAGACTCCATGAGACGGCACGAACACCTGGGAGCTACGCACGCCCTCCAAGCAGCCCGCACAGCGAGTCAACAGGGACAGGATCGCGACGCCGCCGCACCGGCCGCGGTGCAGACGTGCCCACCACCAGAGCACCAGTGACACCACCACCCGCGGCCCCGGCACCGGCCGCGGTGCAGACGTCCCCACCACCAGAGCACCAGCGACACCACCACCCGCGGCCCCGGCACCGGCCGCGGTGCAGACGTCCCCACCACCAGAGCACCAGCGACACCACCACCCGCGGCCCCGGCACCGGCCGCGGTGCAGACGTGCCCACCACCAGAGCACCAGTGACACCACCACCCGCGGCCCCGGCACCGGCCGCGGTGCAGACGTCCCCACCACCAGAGCACCAGTGACACCACCACCCGCGGCCCCGGCACCGGCCGCGGTGCAGACGTCCCCACCACCAGAGCACCAGTCACACCACCACCCTCGGCTCCGTCTCGCTCTGCCACACACCTGGTCGGCCTGCCCGCGCTGCTCCATGATGAGCGGCGACGGCTGCGGCTGCGGCGACGGCTCCGCCTCCGCCTCCTGTGACCACCGGCCGGCCGGCACGTTAGTGTCACGCCCGCGGCCTCCCACGCCCGTGGTCGGCCCTGTGCGCGCGCGCGACGACACCTACCTGGGCGACGGCGACGGAGGCGGCGGCGGCGGCGGCGGCGGCGGCGGCAGGGCCGGCGCTGGAGGCTGCGGCTGTGGAGGACGTCTGGTCCCAGGCAGCGGGGCGGACCAAGCAAGCTGCGTGTTAGCTAGGGGCGGGCGCCACAGGCGCAGTGTGACCGGGCCACTGTTTCCGCAGCCACCCGAATGGTCTGTTCACACGGGCTGCTTTTCGGGACGCGCGTCGAACGCGTGAAAATACGTGACGTCATGAGAAAACGTGTGACGCGTGGTACATGCCCGCGTGTTCTGTGGTACATAAGCTGCAATCCAAGACGGGCTTCTCGTCGCAATTCAGTTTAAACTGGAATAGAAGACGGCCTTCTCGTCGCAAGGTAAGTAACATGCTAGTTCCAAATGTTCGCCTAAACCATCGGGTCAACGTACAGGAATAAAAGAAGGTGGCACCCCATAAGCTGCCACCAATCGTCCAGAAATATGATTGCCATAGATTGCGTACTAGGCTTTGAACATGCAATTCAAATTTCCGAGCTCCCCTGCTCGAAAAGAACGCTCAGCGTGACTAGACGAAAGATGGGAGACAAAAGCACGTCTTATGTGCAGTGGCGACAGCTGCCCAACAGTATAACGCATTTATCAAAAGTACGGCGCCGGCAGATGTACGACGGAAGCGTCGGACACGCAAAAAACGCACGTGTGAACAGACCGTAACATGCACGCAGCACGGGCAAAAACGTCCGTCGAGACAAAGTGACGAACGAAATGAGACTGGTGCGGGTGGCTGCAGAAACCGCGCCGGCGTCGGCGGATGCCGTTCGTGTGTGCGCGCGCCCGGGTCAGTCTGTCGGCGTGCAGTGAACACCGGGTTAGCGGCACACCGCGGCCCGGGGCCGGCCGGTACCGTGCGGACGTCACCCGCGTGCCGCAGCCCCACTGGCGCCCAGTGGCCCCGGCGCGAGCCCGGCCCGCCCGGCGTCGGCCCGCCGCCGACCCACCTCGATCTGCTGCACGTAGTTGGAGGGGAAGATGCCGGTGACGCCGTTGAGGGTGCCCGTCCACCACTCGCCATGCTTCTCGGTGACATGGATCACGTCGCCCTGCTGGAAGAGCAGGTCGCCCGGCTCGGTCGACTCGTAGGTGTACAGCGCCACGTGGCGGCCTGCGGGCGGGCGGGGGACGGGTCACGGAGAGGACGCGCCGGGAGGGCGCACAGACGCGCCGCGCCCGGTGCGTCGGCTCCGCCAGCAGTCCGGAGCCGCGGCACGCCAGTTTGGAGCTGCATCGAAGAGCTGTCGCAGTGCACTCCGGAACCAACAGCTGTGCGAGTCTACGTTCGAAAGGCGATTGGTGGGCGTGACAGACGCCACGCGGGTGTCACAAGTGGTTACGCCAAGGACAGCGTCTTTCCTGAGCAGAGGGTACGTACTGGCCCCGGAAGCTGGCTGCGGCCCGGTCGCCGGAGCCTGCGAACGAATACGACAGCTGTCAGACGCTGCCGCCGTCACCGACACCGACCTCGCACAAGACATCAAGCAAACACGTGGACGAAGGCTAGAATAGAGTTATCTGTCTGCCACTCTCGGCGTTGACTTCACGCTATATTGACACTACTGACTGCAAGCCATTCATTTCATATGTTGTATAGGATTTCAGCTTTGTCCCCCTCCCTTCCCCCCCCCCCTCTCCCACATCAGCGTTACGGCGAGAAGCATGCTGACACCAGCTGGTTCAGACGGCTGTACCTGTTCCGCGTCTGAGGCGGGCGGCGCCGGCGGCTCTGCCGGCTGGCCCGGCTCTTCTGGCTGAGGACGGGGGCACGCGTGCCGCGTCAGCCGCCAACCAGGCCCGCACACAAACGCGTGCACACACAGGCGCGCACCGGCGCGCCAGTAGCAAGCGCCGTGAATCCCAAGCCGGTCATTGGTGGGCAGCGGTGAGAGCGGCGGGCGGCAATATCTCACCTCCATGTGGGACTTATTAACGGGCAAGTTGGAGCTATTAAAAGACGCGAAGCGCCCACAACAAGTGGGCAGTTGTGAAAATGATTTGAGTGCAGTTATATAAAACCTACGACGCTCAAGTTGTCTTCGCGTTTATGCGCAGCACGACGGCGCTTACCAACGTGCCCGATCCAAGCCACAATTTGGTGTAGCCAATCTACGTAGGCAATATCACAGCACAAATTTCGGCCACATTAAGGTGAAACAACGCCTCCGAGTTGCTGCCAGAAGCGGCAGTCTCAGCGTTCGCCACCGGCGGCAACACACAAGGTTAGGCCGCCGGGAAGTGCGCGGGGTATCGTCAGTACCATGTTCGAGGTAGCGCAAAGGTGCGTATTTACAAGGCAAACGGAGACAAACCAACAAAAGGACTTCGTGCAGGATGTTGGTGCTCAACAGTAACAACGGACCCCGTGTTGTCCAACAAACGCTCGGCCGTCCGTTAAGTGGCCGGAAATGCCTACACCACCCACACACGCGCACACACACACACGCCAACGCAGGACAAACGGAAAGCCCGCAGTACCAGGTGCCGGGACCGGGGACAACACTAGCGGCGGCCCCGCCCCAGCGCGAGTCGGCCCCCTCACCTTCGCCAGAGGGACGAAACCACCACCCCCCACACACGGCGGGTGAGTTCACCCGTCTCACCTGGGCCGGAGCGTTCTCGCCGTTGAAGGCCCGCGCCGCGCCCTCCGACGAGCTGCAAACACAGAGCAGACCGTCACCGACACCGACGGCGAGCCCGTCACGCCGCGGACGGGGCCGGCCCACCGGCTGGCGCGCGGCCGGCGCCAGGCTGCGCAGCCGACAGTGCCGCGCCGCTCGCACGCCGCGTCAGTGGCTGGCGCGTCGAGCTGAAGGCTCGACGCTCCAGCCACACTCGAGCTCCTCCCACACCTCCTGGACAGACTACGTGGTGATGCGGCCGGCAGCCGCCTCGGTGTAGCCTTCACCGCAGCGTACGTAACGGCATGGCGTGCTGTGCCTCACGCCCACCGGGGCGTCGGCCTCCTGGGGCGGGTAGGACTGCACCCGTCCCGCCAGGCGGCCACATCCGGTGCCCGTCCGCTGGTCTGACGTAGGACTGCACCCGTCCCGCCAGGCGGCCACATCCGGTGCCCGTCCGCTGGTCTGACGTAGGACTGCCACCCGTCCCGCCAGGCGGCCACATCCGGTGCCCGTCCGCTGGTCTGACGTAGGACTGCACCCGTCCCGCCAGGCGGCCACATCCGGTGCCCGTCCGCTGGTCTGACGTAGGACTGCACCCGTCCCGCCAGGCGGCCACATCCGGTGCCCGTCCGCTGGTCTGACGTAGGACCGCACCCGTCCCGCCAGGCGGCCACATCCGGTGCCCGTCCGCTGGTCTGACGTAGGACTGCCACCCGTCCCGCCAGGCGGCCACATCCGGTGCCCGTCCGCTGGTCTGACGTAGGACTGCACCCGTCCCGCCAGGCGGCCACATCCGGTGCCCGTCCGCTGGTCTGACGTAGGACTGCACCCGTCCCGCCAGGCGGCCACATCCGGTGCCCGTCCGCTGGTCTGACGTAGGACTGCACCCGTCCCGCCAGGCGGCCACATCCGGTGCCCGTCCGCTGGTCTGACGTAGGACTGCACCCGTCCCGCCAGGCGGCCACATCCGGTGCCCGTCCGCTGGTCTGACGTAGGACTGCACCCGTCCCGCCAGGCGGCCACATCCGGTGCCCGTCCGCTGGTCTGACGTAGGACTGCACCCGTCCCGCCAGGCGGCCACATCCGGTGCCCGTCCGCTGGTCTGACGTAGGACTGCACCCGTCCCGCCAGGCGGCCACGTCCGGTGCCCGTCCGCTGGTCTGACGTAGGACTGCACCCGTCCCGCCAGGCGGCCACATCCGGTGCCCGTCCGCTGGTCTGACGTAGGACTGCACCCGTCCCGCCAGGCGGCCACATCCGGTGCCCGTCCGCTGGTCTGACGTAGGACAGCACCCGTCCCGCCAGGCGGCCACATCCGGTGCCCGTCCGCTGGTCTGACGTAGGACCGCACCCGTCCCACCAGGCGGCCACATCCGGTGCCCGTCCGCTGGTCTGACGTAGGACTGCACCCGTCCCGCCAGGCGGCCACATCCGGTGCCCGTCCGCTGGTCTGACGTAGGACCGCACCCGTCCCGCCAGGCGGCCACATCCGGTGCCCGTCCGCTGGTCTGACGTAGGACTGCACCCGTCCCACCACGCGGCCACATCCGGTGCCCGTCCGCTGGTCTGACGTAGGACTGCACCCGTCCCGCCAGGCGGCCACATCCGGTGCCCGTCCGCTGGTCTGACGTAGGACCGCACCCGTCCCACCAGGCGGCCACATCCGGTGCCCGTCCGCTGGTCTGACGTAGGACTGCACCCGTCCCGCCAGGCGGCCACATCCGGTGCCCGTCCGCTGGTCTGACGTAGGACTGCACCCGTCCCGTCAGGCGGCCACGTCCGGTGCCCGTCCGCTGGTCTGACGTAGGACTGCACCCGTCCCGTCAGGCGGCCACGTCCGGTGCCCGTCCGATGGTCTGACGTAGGACAGCACCCGTCCCGTCCGGCGGCAGACGCCGGGCGCCCGCCAGCTGGTCAGACGCATCACACGTGACCTCGACTGACCTGAGCGTGGCCGTGTCGACCGGCTCCACGTAAGACTCCGGCAGCCAGCCCACGTGACCGTTGACCTCGCCCTCCAGCCAGTTCGGCTCCGGGTTGGCGTCCAGATTAATCTGCAACGGCAGTCGACACTGGGTCAGAACCGCGCGCGTCCATACCGGTGACAGGACGTCGGCAGCACTGTCGTTTTGTACTAACAGCACGAAGTCCGCGCTTAATTCATGAACATCGCATACACCAATGTCGCCAGCGGCCCGCAAATCCCGACAACGCATCAGCTATCGAAAAGCAATACCCGCATAGGATGTACACTCGACCCACAAGCACCGCTCGCAGAGCAGCGTGAGGGGTACTGGCAATCTTCCACCGATATCTTTGACGAGTGCTCTTGAATCTGCAGCCGTCCACCCGCCGGAACAGGCGCCTGCTACCGGAGCGGGAGGCCACAGGGCTCAGGCGCCGCGCACCAGACACGCCGGCCGCGCTCACCACGACAATGTCGCCCGGCTGGAAGGAGACCTCGTCGGCGGAGCGGCCCTGGAACTCGTACAGCGCCCGGTACGCCACCTTGCGGGACCCTTCTGCAACAGCAGGCGGAGGCGACTGTCGAGACGGTTCGGAACTGATAGAGGAGTGGCTTTCGCGAACGGCCGGCGTCGGTCAACACACGGCGGAATAGTGGGCTGATATCGTACAACACACCACTGTTGACCACTGGCGAGACAACCCATGGCAAAAAACTGACAAGTCTTAAGCAATCGCAAGATGGCAAACCTGTGCTGACGCCGCATATGTGTTGTTTGTTGGTTATCGGCATATCGCCATGAGCCTACCGCTGTTCCATCTCAAACAGGACAAACGTCTGCCGCATATCCCACCGTATTGACACCCGCTGCCAAACACGAATCGCTGTCCTAAACATGAATTTGTCCTGAGCAATACCATAATGCAGCCCAATGATCAGGCTGTGAGATGGCAACCGTTAATTACACATCTCAGACGCACCATTTTCTGATTCGATTAATACGTATGACATGCTTTTGCAAGGATGCGACGCACACCTCTCCTCTCTGAGACGGCAGTGCTACTCTAGTATCTTATCGAGATCATCATCCGGGGGATATTCCACCTGTCATACATGCGTAAACATTCCCTTCTCTCGCGGCATTCTTCACCGGGGACTATGCACGCGTGCTGGTCCAAATCACAGGGCTAAGTACACACAACTAACGTATCTAACGGCAAGGGCCACATTCCCACGCCTATCGGAGGGGTTATGAGAGCATGCACGTGTCTCCCGCGTCACCTCCGGCAGTCCGCCGCCGTCGCGTCGCCAGGCGGTGCTGCGGCCGCGCCTCGTCGACCGCCTGCGCGGCGGCTGTCTCACCGGCGGGCGGCGCGGCGGCGGGGGCGGCGGCGGGGGCGGGCTGCGACGCGGCCGGCAGCCACGGGTCCGCGGCGGCCGGGGACGGACCGGCGGCCGGCGGTGCGCCCCAGACGTCGGCGGCGACCGAGGAGGAAGCGGCCGGCTGGCGCGGCGCGTCCCAGGCGCTGCTGAAGTCGGCCGCCCAGGCCGCTGGCTGTGGCTGCTGCTTCTGCGGCGGCGACGGTTGCTGCTGCTGCTGCTGCTGCTGTTGCTGCTGCTGCGGCGGCGACGGCTGCTGGTGGTGCTGCTGAGCGAGCGCGCGGGCGGCGCCTGCTGGCGGCGCGTGCACACATCGAGTGAGGCGGCGCCCGTGCACGGCACACACAGAGTGCGGTGCGCGGCATACCCGGCGAGCTACACTGGGCGGACGGGGCATTCTCGCCCGCCTACACTGACTGACAGGCTACGGTGCCGGGAGGGCTCGCTAGCTATGGTACGGGGCCGGGACCAGGGCGGGGCGGGGCGGGGCAGGCGGCCACTGACCGGCGTCCGGCGGTGCGGCGTCCGGGCGGCGCAGCTCCAGCACGCTGCGCCGCTTCAGCTCCCACTGCGCGTGCACCTCCTGGCAGCCGGCCACCAGCGAGTTCAGCACGTCCTTCATCTCCTTCAGCTGGTCCAGTTGCGCCTCCAGCTCAGCCTCTTTCTCGGCGCACTGCAGCACATCGCGCGCGATCCATTAGCAACACACCATCTGTGGCATAATCATAATCACAGCCTGATCTGGCATGCAAGGAACGACCTGCCAGCCCATGAGGCGGTCCGCGAGCCGAACACTGACGCTAACATAGGCTAGGCAGCAACCGTTTCTATGTATGGCCTTGCATATTCAAGCGCATCAATTTCCGTCTTAATCGAATTATCCCCTGAACCACTTCCCGAACTATCATGATCAACGCTGCTCGCATCACGTGACACCAGAACATGCTGCGCGGAATCGGGACCACAAACGACAACGGCACCCGACCAAGCACCAAGCACATTCCCTGCCTCATAGCATATAGAGCCGGCCAGTCTGGGAGGAGGGAGTCCGCCGCGGGAGGGACGGGGAGGTGGCGCCGGCCTCACCTGGGAGTCGCCGGCCTGCACGCGCTCGCGCAGCTGCTGTATGATGTGCTGCTTGCTGTCGTAGTTCATGGCGACGCTCTCGAGGCCGGCCTGCACCGGGTTGTTGGCGTCGTTCAGCTTGTTACGAGCCTCCAGCTGAGCGCGCTCCTGTGAGCAGGGGCAGCAGCACCGGTCAGGGACCGCCACAGGGGCAGGAGCACGGGTCCGGAACCGCAGCAGGAGCAGGAGCACCGGTCAGCGACCGCAGCAGGAGCAGGGGCACCGAACAGGGACCGCAGCAGGAGCATGAGCACCGGTCAGGGACCACAGCAGGAGCAGGGGCACCGAACAGGGACCGCAGCAGGAGCAGGAGCACCGGTCAGGGACCACAGCAGGAGCAGGGGCACCGAACGAGGACCGCAGCAGGAGCAGGAGCACCGGTCAGGGACCGCAGCAGGAGCAGAACCACCGGTCAGGGGCCGCAGCAGGAGCAGGAGCACGGGTCAGTGACCGCAGCAGGGGAGACTCAGTGGCCGGAGCAGGGGCACGTTAGTGCATTGCAAAACACGCTAGGCATTTGAACTGCGAGGGCTGGTTGCTAAAGCAGAGGAGAGTAAAAGACTGGGGCAGGGGAGCGGGGGCATTATCGAGGATTTGAAGGACTACTAATCGGGACAGAACGTCCACGTTCAAGGGTGAGAGGAGCGATGATCGGATTATCATCATGCTTACTGGCCGGATTAGCCGACACCAGCGGCCACAAACAGTCTTAATCAGATGACGTGTAACCCGGGAGGACCCGATAGTCCGTCGTGAAGTATTCAAGCTGGCACACGTCTGAGCAATCAAGTACAAGCACGCTAGACTTCACGCGATCTCAACCGGGTCAATTTTTTCAAAACACAATCGCAGTTGTATCTGATGAGCGAGACTGGAGAACGTCCGGGTCTAAACATGTATGTGTACACTGTCAAACAAGTTTTGCACAAATACTTCACTGTGTGCCTTGACCCCTGTCCGGTGGACAGGACCGGACCACCACCCGGACCACGTCTGCGCCGGGAGCTGGCCGGCCGCGGCGCCTCACCTGATTGACCTGCAGCAGCCGGTTGTTCTGCTCGCGCAGCTGCGCCTTCAGCGAAGTGAGCTGCGCCATGTTGCTGTCGCGGGTGGCCCTCATGCCGTCGATGGTCGACTTGACCTCGGTCACGCCCGTGCGTGTGTCGCTGATCTTCTGGGTCAGCTCCTTGACGCGGTCCGTCTGGCGGCGAGACGGCAGGTCAGGCGGCCGCAGCTGGCGCGCCGTACAAGCCAGGTCAGCGGGCCGGACTCCGGCCAAAGCGGCTGGCACCACCGTCCCCAAACGCTCGCACACGTCTTCGAGCGTACACATACGCTCATACGTTCATACTGCGCACATACGCCATACGCTCTCACACGCTCTCCTTCGAGCGTACACATGTCATACCGAACCACGGGAAGCGAGCCTGAGCTCCCAGCCGTCTCCGCCCGGTGCGAGCGCCGCTTCGCCTGGCCGGCCTCCCCGAAAGCCAGCCCCGGCCGCCGGCCCACGCTCACCGCTGAGTTGAGCTGCACGATAAGCTGCGTGTTGTGCGCCTTGAGCTTCAGCACGGCCTCCTGCTGCTTCTGGCGCTGAGTCTCCAGCTCCTGCCGCTTCTGCACCTCCCACTCCTCCTGCCGTTTCCGCTCCATCTCCCTGCCGGCAGAGGGCGGCGCCGTCGCAGCAGCAGGTCCCTGAACCGAGCGCTGGAGTCTGCACTCGTCACGGAACGAGTAGATACTGCTGACCGATCCTCCCCTGCCCCGCCCCACGGACCTTCCGTCACTTTACGGACGTCTCAGACGCGCACGTAGCCGTAACTCCACTCATCGGTGGGGGCAAATGTAGGCTTTTCACCGAACTCCTCCGAATTCGAACCGCATTCCTTGAGATCGACCCGGATCTAGTGTTAACGTCTTGGCTCAGAGGGGAAGAGGGGTACGGCCTCGTCCCTTCCCCTCCCCGCCCCCACGTCCCTGCTCGGACACGAAGAGAAGACTTTGTGGAAGTTCGGCGATACAGTGTGATGGCCGACGAAACGTTTCAAAACATTGTGTGCACGTGCAATGACGGCAGGACCATCCCCCTTCTGCGGCACAACAGCGTTGAGCAGTAGCTCGGCTTGGGACGGGCCGTCGGGCCCCACCTGCGGGCTGCCTCGCGGTGCTCGAGTTCACGGCGGCGCGCCTCCTCCTGCTGCTGCTCCAGCTCGCGCTGCCGCATCATCTGGCGGTCGAGCTCGTCCTGGCGGCGCCGCTCCTGCTCCAGCCTGTCGGGGGCAGCGGCACGAGTCACTGCGGCGGCCGCGCTCACTGGGCGGCAGCGGGTCCGACTCGACAACGCGACACCTGTCACAACGCACTCACTCGGCACTCGCATGAACAACTCAACACCCGCGCCCCTTCTATATCATCGTAACCCGCCCTGGCATTGTGCCATGACCTACTCCCTCGATCTAGCGGGGACCCTTCAGCCACATCAGCACTCAGCGCAATCCGTGCGTCACGCCCAGCCAGCAGCAACATCACCGACCCCTCATCCCGTACATCCCCGGCCACGGCCACCGCACAGCTAGCGCGCCTCCCATGCCCGTCCAGCCGCCCCACCTGGCGCGCTCCTGTTTCTCGTGCTCCTCGCGCTCCTTGCGCGCGCGCTCCTCCTGCTCGCGTCGCTGCTGGTCCTCCAGCACCTTGCGGCGCCGCTCCAGCTCCGCCTGACCCTTGTTGTAGTTGTCCCGCCGGCGGTCCTCGAACGACGCTGTCGGCGGGGTATCGGCCGTGAGCGGGCGGTGAACCCTGGCTTGGCGGCGAGTCGAACCACGGCAAAGGGCCGCGTGCCCCCCGCCACGTGGGCATGCGCGGCTTGAGACAATGTCGACCAGACGACACGGTCTTAACGGCAACCACGACTTTAGCGCGCGATAAGTAAAATAGTTTTCAGCGCACCCGCCCAGCAATCACCCAGTAAGACAACGCTCTCAGACCAATCCACTTAAAGAATTGCGAACTAACTAGAATGAGATGAGAAAATGTAAAACTAAAGACACACGTAGGGACACTGTCATCACGCTAAATCGATTGTGCTCGGTTTATGTACGCACATCATTACGGCGAGATACGTGAGTAAAATAATAAGCGCATGGCAACAGCGAGATGCATATCACGAGGATAACAGGAGGGTATGCATAACAGGAGATGCATATCTTGGCTGCAGACTTCAGTCAACTCAGTCACAATATATCTGGGGTACCATGGTCTCTCCAACGGCGTGGTCATGCCTGTGCAGCATCCACAATACGGCCCGCCAGTTCCCGGACCCCGTGAACCCAGGAGCGAGCACGGAGACGGCTGGCACTGCCGACGGGCGTCTTCCGCAAACATGGCCATCAGACGGCGTCCGACGCCGGCCCAGCGGCCGCGGCCAGACGCCTGTCCGACCTCAGGCTGCAATAACACAGGGGTACGTGCCTGGCAGGCTGCCCGCCCCGGCCCGTCGGCACGGCCGCGCCCCACAGCATGTGTCCCGACGCTACATCGACGCTCGCCTGCAATACCCTCCCCTTCCCCACACCTGAACACACGTGATAAGGACCACCTCAAGTGTCACTCCAGATTAAGCATAGGCTGAGCAAGATAAAACACATATTGTATGTACAAGTTTCTGTTATGTTTTCGCGACACATGCAACTTGTGTGACCAGTAGTACCGAATTTCTTTGCCCATGCACGTGGTCGGAATTTCACCCCGGGGGTGAGGCGAACTCTTTTTTCAGAAGCTTCCCGCAATCGAGGAAACCAGTTTCGCATGGGAACCCCACGGTCACTTTTCTGGCCGGATTTACGCTGCTTTTTATAGAGGCCATTTGGCACACCACGAGGCCTCTTGGCCGACCCAGCCGCCCTCGACACTTCATGAAACCTCATAAAAAGGTTATCAACCGTCGCTACATCTCAATTTTAAACTGAATTATCCTTAAAATATATGCTTGGCCAATTTTCCGACGCCTGAGGAAGCCCTTTAACCTTTCGGGGGCTCAGAGGGCCCCGGTTCCTAAGGAAGGGGGAGGGGATCGCCCTGTCCACCCACTTGATTAGGTCCTTAATGCTGCCTGGTGGTGTCAGGAAACCCCAAACACAGCGACCATTAAACCTCGCATCATGGGCGCCATAGTACCAGCACCGTCGGCGCGCCCTACAGTCCGGAGCCTTATCATCGAAATAGCGCATCTAATCCTGCAGCATTCCGATCCCCAGCCCACCACTCCGCCGTAAATCCGCCGCGTCCGGCGCCGCATGTTACAATCCGCTGCACTCGCTGCCTTATCGGTCTCACATCAGGCCCACTTCAGATACCACGCCGCTTCGCCACTGGCCGCCTCGGCTCCGAGCGCCCCTCCCCACTACTGACCCTGCTGCGTGGGCGAGAGGACGAGGTCGGCGGCGGCCGGGTCACCCGGCTGCGAGCCGGAGCTGGTGGTGCGCGTGCGCGCGCGTCGGAAGCTGGGCGGCACCAGCTCGGCCGGCAGCGAGTTGGCTAGCTTGTCGCCCTGCCGCGTGCGCTCGCACAGGTGCAGCGCCAGCACGAACTCCTCGCAGGAGAGCCGGCCGTCCTGGTCCACGTCGCAGAGCGACCTGGCCGCCAGGCGGGTCGAGGTCAGGCGACTGGTGGGTGTGGCCGGTGGGGTTGGGGGCAGACGGCTGGTGAGTATGGCCGGCGGGGTCGGGGTCAGACGGCTGGTGAGTATGGCCGGCGGGGGTCGGGGTCAGACGGCTGGTGAGTATGGCCGGCGGGGTCGGGGTCAGACGGCTGGTGAGTATGGCCAGTGGGGTCGGGATCAGGCGACTGGTGAGTGTGACTGGTGGGGTTGGGGTCAGACGGCTGGTGAGTGTGGCCGGCGGGGTCGGGGTCAGGCGGCTGGTGAGTGTGGCCGGCGGGGTCGGGGTCAGACGGCTGGTGAGTGTGGCCAGTGGGGTCGGGGTCAGGCGGCTGGTGAGTGCGGCTGGTGGGGTCGGGGTCAGACGGCTGGTGAGTGTGGCCCGGGGTCGGGGTCTGGCGGCTGGTGAGTGTGGCTGGTGGGGTCGGGGTCAAGCGATATCAAGGGTGCGGCAGAACCCCATACCTAAGCAAATCGTTCCCAGTTGGTTCAGGAACAGCCGCCGTAGGTCGATGAAGTCATGGAACGTCACGCAGTGCCAGAAGACGGCGAAACATGTTTCGTGGGTCGAACACGATTCAGTACCGAGTTGATGAACAGTCTAACAAAGCACATCTCCTCCCTCCCCCCCCCCCCCCCCCCCCGCCCTCTTGACCACGCCTCGTTTGAGGATGAGTGAACCGAGCAATGCCCCGCATTTCACCGCCCTCTCCAGCAATGCCGCGGCCAGGCCTGGCCTTCATCACGGCACCAGACGGCACCCGCTGGCGCCGGGCCCGCGCGCTCTCACCAGATCTGCGCCAGCACGCTGTTGGGCAGGCCGCTCTGCACCAGGATGTTGCGCGCCTGCGGGCCTGACAGGTAGCCGGACTTGGTGCGGTCGTGCTGGTTGAACGTCTGCGTGTACTTGAGCCGCGAGGCCTGCGGCACGGCCCACTCGGCGCCGGGAGAGGCGCCCGTCGCCCTGCGCGCCGCCACAGAGCCGGGCATGAGCGGCAGCCGCCGCCACCAGAGACGGCACGGCCAGGATCGGCCAGCGCGCAGCGGCCACATCATGTCGTAATCACTTGATCTACGTGGCTTACAATTTCATTGATATGTACCTGTCATCCACTAAATAAAGCATGGCTTACAATAACACTGTGGCGCACATCGCTCACAAAGCACACTGCCAGCGCCAGCAGCCGAAACATCCAGGAAAGGCCAGCGCGGCGATTTAAGATTGCAGCGAGAATGGCAGATCTCACCAAAACTTAAGAAGGTTACTGCGACGACATGCACACAATCAGACCAAATATCATGGCAACCAAATGCGGAGATTAAAGAGGCGGCAAGAGTCTAGACCAGAGCCTTTCGGACAGCCGAGCAAATGGTGCACTTGGCACGCGCCGTGCCGCCCAGAAAACCTGGCGTGCCGGCAGCAGGGTGTAGCCTGGCCGCTTCGGCACCGATCGAGCGCGAGCGCCCGCCGACCGGGACACGTCGCGTCGCCTCCGGGGCCGCCGCAGCCGAGCGCAGAAAGCAGAGCATCCACTCACGACTCCTGGCTGGCCACAGAGTCAGACCTCGACCGAGAGACCGTCGGGCCGGGCGGCGGCGGCGGCTGCGGCTGGGGCTGCGACGCGGCGAACTGCGCCGGCTGGATCGGCACCGGCCCGGTGGCCACCAGCGGCGCGCTGACGCCCATCTGCTGGCGCGGCGCGCCGGCCGGCGGCCCCGCCAGTCCGCCCAGCGGCGCCAGCGGCTGCGAGATGCCCGCCGCCGGCACCAGCGGCTGCGACAGGCCGGCCGGCACCAGCGGCGGCCCGGCGCCGGGGATGAGCGGCGCCGCGGCCGGCACCAGCGGCGCCCCAGCGCCGGGCACCAGCGGCTGAGCCAGCCCGCTGGGCGCCAGCTGCGGCGGCGAAAGGGCACCCGCTGGCACCAGCGGCTGCGAGAAGTCGCCCGTCGCCACCAGCGGCCTGCTCAGACCACCCGCCGGCATCTGCGGCTGGGGGAACCCACCTGAAAACCGCGCCGACCGCGTTATCACCCACCGCGCCCAGCCAACTCCGTTCATGTCCTAATGCATCCTGGCAATCTGCAAGCAATCCTACATCAGCACACACCCGAACATTATAACCTGCAGCTGACAGCTGACGTGGAATCATACTTGGCTGAGTGGACGTTGGCGTCAGCATGTTTTTCAGCGCCGGCGGGAGAGTGGAGGGCACGTCGAAGCCCTTCAGCTTGTTAGTGATCAGCTTGCACGCCACGCTGAACTCGTTGCGGTCCATCTTGCCGTCCGCGTTATG